ACTTTTTGTCCATGCCCTTACCTTGCATTCAAAGCAAACTTTGCCTGTAGTGACACCCCAGGTTGCTCTTGCACCAGCTAGCAGATATGAAAACCCTTCATCCTCCAATGGTTTTCCACTCAAGCCATCTGCTGCAATTTTCAGATGCAGGTCGCTGTTGTCTAAAATACAACCAAATGCAAAAAAAAAAATTGAGAACAGAATTCTCATAAGTGTGCATGACTCTGCTGGCCATGCACTCCTACAAGCTAAAACAGATACCCATACCTCTTCCGATATTAGTTCTCAGTTGTGAATTGGTTTTGACATGCTCCTTGAAAATCTTACTCTTACAAGTGTATGTTACACATTGTACTCGCCATTTTGGCCCATCCACTTACATTTGTCCAAGACGACTAAAGTGTCGTCAAGTGGAATCTCTTCATCCTCAGGTTCAACTCTACTGGAGGGAAAAATGAAAATGTAGAAAACTCAGATGAGAGGTCAGAGCGATCTGCATCTAGCAGACGCCTTTGCCGATGGTTGATCTTTCTCCTGGCAGTGACATAAGCACAGATAGTCATTCCAGAGATCAGTTTGTAATCAAGCTGATTCCAATAGAATTGTTGACGTTTCCAGAGAAAGGAAACACCATTTCAGCTGCACTGTCACCGCTGACTCTCCAGCTTTAATTCCTTACCTGGCCTCGGTGGAAATCTCTACATCATCATCAGCATCCTTCTCTGCATCTGCCTTCTCTCCTGAAAAAGATTACAAAGTTTACCTTATGAATAAGGGACTTATAACTATGCTATATTACTATTAGCTGCTACATCTACTGCTGATTCAAGTAGTAACATAAGGTTGAACTATCCAGTGCTAGAGTCCTCTTAAATCCATACAACTCCCATCAACCATTCATTGTCAGATGGAGCTCTCCACAAGACTATATCTCCATGGATTAACACATGTTAACTACAGTATCTAATTTAGCCGGGTTTTATCATCAATTCCAATGCTTTGTGCGTGGTACACCATGTTCCTCTTCTGTCCATTCGCCACACAATGAATCCATCACTCCCTCACAAATAGAAGATGCAACCTTGATTCATATTTGATGGTTGAAAAGTAACTGATAGTAAATGCATCCAGGTCATTAAGACCTTGCATCTTCAGAATCTATCCTCAGATGCAGTTACTCACTGCAGAGCTTCTCCTTATAACTACACAACAAAGTGTAAATTGGTCTTCATTTGACACTCTGCATTTCTCAAAACCAAACAGATAATTGCACTTGTTGTACAGCCTTAAGCTGTAATTGCAGTTTTTCTGTTTTCTCATCAATGGGAAAGGTCTTGTTTCCCAATGCTTAAAAATGACACGTAGAGCGAAACTGAAGTGAGTCACCGCTACCTTAAACACCAAGAGACTTGCCAGACAACATTCCCACATGTCAAGTGAGTGGCTCTGACGTGGGGTGGTCCCTAGAGTTTGAACAAAGTTGGCGCAACACAGGTAAACACAAAGCACAAGGCATACATGAAGCTGCACCTGGAATGTTTAACCCTGATGTGTTACAGCATTCTTAATGAATTACAAATAACTGAAAGTGATATGTTGAGTCCCACTGGTTGGTACATTGGCATTTTGAGGGTATTTTGCAAAATTCATATTTTTCTAACAGCTTTGAAAACATACCAAAAAAAAAAAAGATTAGTGCTTGGAGAATTGTGCAAAACATAAACCATTTTACAAGAGAATCTTAGTAATCAAAAGCAGACTGTACTAAGGGGGCTATGAGGACTTCCAATTGGATTTAAAAATTTTAGACTCCGTTTATTAGTTCTTAAATAACATATATGCAAAAATACAACTAGTAATAGTAACATTAAAATAGGCATCATCTTGCATATCTTGAACTTTACCCAGATGCATCTTCCACTATGGAATTAGGCTTATATGTATTTCTAAACCAATTCCTTCATGCTCATGGTACAAAACTTCTAACTGCTACGATTCATCTTTAACCCTTTCATTCCCAAGAAAAAAATACAATTTCTCATTACTTTCTGTCATCAATTTCTACTAATTTGTGTTTTGAGTGCTTATTCAAACAATATCCCCTCAACAATATCTTTTTTCCTTCTCATCATCTTTCAGTGTTGAAAATGTATTGAAACCAAAAAGACAAATTCCTCTTTGGTCACTCTTGGAAGTGAAAGATTTAAATAAAAAAATTTCAATTTTACAATACAGTTTATAACATGTATATTTAAAGTTGAACCTTTTAAGTTGCTCATTACAATTTAGAGACCATAATTTTCTGATTGACACCACTAAACCAGAGGCCTTGATGTTTTTTTTTATCAGAATACTACTGTTCTCATTCAGCATATTACAAGATATTTCCCTTATCAGCTCCTGTATGGATCAAATCTACAAATCATCTTAAGTTGTTGTATAACTGTAGAATAACAGATACAAAACAAAGGCTTGTTAACACATCATGCAACCTAAATCTGGACATTTAATCTGTTATAAACAGTATGTGCATACAGGATTGTCTCTTATTTTTTAACCAACTGTTACATTGGAGATATCACCCAATATCACCAGCACCAGTGTGATATGAGGTGAAGTATAAGGTGGCCGCAATCAACATCTTTTAACATTGAGTGAGCCCAGCTGTAACAGATGTTAGATGACAGTTTATGACCCTTAATAACAGACCTATGCATTTATGTTGTATTAGCGATTGCATTGGTGTATTGTTGTTAGTGTGGTAAAAAATAGTTATGCAACACTTTCTCATTGCTAACCTACACTATTCCACTTGTCATCTGTTTTTCCCTGGTATAAATGATTGCCTGAGAGCTTTTGTTTATTTCAATAAAATGAAATTGAAAAGAAAATTTGTTCAAAAGTATAATGTACAAGAACTGTGCTTGGGATTATGTAGGTCCTCAGAATGACTACTAACACTCATGGAAAGGTAGAAAGGTCGGTATCTTTCTCCAATCTGACACTTATCTAAACAACAAAGGTTTTTGCGACTATGCTTAACATATCAAGGGACTAAATACCACATGAAAAATTTATTTCAGTCCATTGCAATTATAAAATGATTCAAATCTAGATTCAGCAGCCTTTTGAGCTCAACCTTATAACCCTTAAGACTGACCACCATCTAATTTTTCCTCACAAAGTCATGAAATAAAGGAAATGGTCAAAAGCTACAAAAACTCTTGATTATTAAATAAGTTCTCCTTGTCAGTTCCTTAGGAAATGAATGGAGAACAGTTTGGAGAATATGCATACTGATGTTACGGTGCAAAGGGTTACCTTAATGATAAGCAAAAACTTCACAACTAACAATTGTTCCTCTGCCATTACTTTCCAAAGGGACTCAACAACATTTAAATTTATTTCAAGCTCTGCTTTTCTTTACAGCTTGTTTATGAAGGGCCTGATTGCATTGAATTATTGAGAGGTATCATTTTCATCCCTTACTCCTACACATTTCTACCCGTGTTTTCATTGTAACAATTCTTTGGGAACGTATACTATAAATGATGTGACACATTCCCTCTGCATTGAGGATTAAAGATGATCCTGCAAGAACATGAACACCGAGTACAAAGTGTGGTTCTGTCATTAACTATACATGTGACAGTGTCTCTTAAAACCCTAACACTCTCAAATACAATCGTGCCTTGCATTTCTAAAACAAACCCCGAACGAAAACCTCCACCTTCATATGGTCTGAGCGATGACCATGTACCATCTAGCAGCACTCGTCTCAGTTTGAAGTATACTAGATCAGCTCTTTCATTTCTGGATCTCAGAGAACTTTTCTCTTTCAACCAATACGTTACTATCACGTATGTTGTTCCTCATGAATAATTTATTTGATTGAAAGAAACGCGATGTTATCGAATAGACTTGACTAACGTGGGAACAGAGACTGGAGATCTTAGTTGATTAGTTGACTTATGATAGATGGGGAACAACTGACATTGTATCATAGGTGTTGGGTAATAACGATGATTAAAGGACAACTTCAAAATTACCAAGTAGCAAAGTATAGCGAATCATATTTTGAGAGAACTTGTTGATTATGCAAACGTGAAATTCTTTAATCGTACCTTCTGTTGTTTGGGATGTTGAAGCACTTTCTTGACCCGTCTCCATTGGTTCTGCGGACTGAGCAACATCTTTTTCAGTTTCTATTGCACTTTCCTCTTTCTGAAGTACTTCCGCGGATTCTGCAGGCTTTCCGGAACTTTCCTCTGTGGGCTTTTCTTCCATTGGGACGTCTACAATCTCCAGATCAGAGGCTTGATCGGCGCAAGAATTTTCGGCCACAGGCAACGGTTCTTCAACTTTCGATTCCGCGTCTTCGACGGTGTTTTCCTCATTTTCTTCCATCTGAGTCTCCTCTTTTTTTTCGTCAGCTTCCTCTTGTCCTTGTGGTTCCATGGCACTTTCTTCCGCAGCACTAGCACCATCCTCGTCCAACGAATTGCCATTTTTTTGACCGACGTTGGAAATCGCTTCGAGCAATCGTTCCACAAGAACCGGTTTGTTTCCCTTCGTATCTAAGCCCCGATTTTGCAATTCTGATCTCAGCTCTGCAACTTTGAGCTTTTTAACGGTTGCTTCGTCTAAATCACTCATGCTGCTAACTATGTTAGGAAAAACCTGAGCAATTTTATCGAAACTGACTCAAAACTTTATTCCCACACGTGCATAAGTTGGAGAAAAGTAGCAAGAGTGTCTTTTGCCCCCCCGCGAAGTCCTAAAACGCATGCGCATCATTAAAGTAGTTTTACTTCGGACAAAGGGCGCCTCATTTTTTTTGATATTTTTCCACCTCGAGCGATAATTCAGGCTATTTTTCTGCATTTTATATTAATTAAACTTTTTAAAACACAAAAAATTCAGTCTCTGAGCAAAATAGGTCAGAAATGACGAAGAAAAGAACTGATTTCTAAGCGATGAAAATTGTTACGAGCCTACAATTAATTTGTTATCTTACTCAGCGGTTAATCGCAGAAAGTATACCGCCATGTTGTCTGATTTCTTCATCTTGAGTTCTCGAGGAGATACGCTTGTATATCGCGATTGTATCCTTTTCCCGAGCTTTTTTTGACAAATATGGCTGATTTAGGGTTTAATTACACTGTCTGATTCTAGTTTAAGCTCTTGCCTAAATGTTATTTCTTTTTTTTTTCTTGTGAAACGCACTTTGAAAAGTAAGCTTTGAAATCGATAGTTAGATCTCTTTGCTATTCTCTCATTTCATCGATTTCCATTAACACTCGATAAATTTATTTTATCAATTTTTCACGGTCAACGATTCCTGTTGACCGATGTTGACTAGGGAGTTTCTGAATCTATATTTGATATCAGTACATTTTTAATTTTTTGCCCATTTAAATTTATGTGTGGGACATCTATCTTAGAAAATGTTCACATTTTCTTCCAAGGTTCTGAAAACCTCTAGGCTCTTCTGGCACTGTTTATCAAATAAACCCTCAAGAAATCAGTAGGCAATGCAGGAAAATGTCAGTTTTTTGGGGAGTGAAGGGGGTGGGGATTAATACGAAATGAGACACTGGGGTACCTTACTGATTCGGGGAGTCTATGTTTCTGTAATCATGGTAAAGCTTTCCTTAATTCATTCAAGACAGAGGGGATGGTGTGAAAGGAACCCCAGACATCTTCTACAGGAAAATAAAATCTGGCAAGGAAAGTCTCCCTCCAATATTTGTGAGTTACTGGAAAGAAACCAAAGAAACCTAACCTAAGCTTAACCCTTTAACCCTTTCACTCCCAAGATCTAATTAGTAATTCTCCTTACTATCAGCCATACAATTCTTATGATGTTAGTTCAGAGAATTTGGTATTGGATCAACTAATAATCCCATGATTGATATTCATCTCTATTCTCATCACCTGCCTGCTTGATATTGTATTGATATTGTAAGGAGAAATTCTGTCTTGGTCACTTGTGGGAGTGAAAAGGTTAACTCCCAGAAGTGATTAACATGTAACTTCTCCTCTATAATATCCATACATTATCCAGCAAACAGGTAATGAGAATACTCAAACTTATCAGGTAGAAGTTGTTATCTTGATCTACAGTGTTCTCCCTTATTTTAAGCATGACAGGTAAAATATATATTTTCAAACCGGTAAAGCAATCCTTTCACCTGTTGAATTTTCAAGAATTCTAAGCAATTTTAAACAGTAATAAGAGGTACTACAGGTGGTAAATGGTACTGGTTACTGCCTGAAAAGGAGAACACTGATTTAATACCAATTTCTCTTAATTAATTTATGAGGAAATGTGTAACGGCTAGAGGAGAGAATTAACGATCAGATTTTGGGAGTTAAAGGGTAAAGTCTTTTTTTTTTGTTATCTAGAAAGAGTGTTAATAGCGGAGCTTGCAGAGCATAGCCCTATAATTATACAAAATAGTAGTAACCCATCAAGCCAAAAAAATTTGGTTGTACAACTGTATGACTGTACAACCGTACAAGGTGCTACTTTTAACATGTGTGGTCAACTATACCACGGGCACGCCAATGCCATGGCTTTATCCAGTAGTCCAGTGGTCAGTGCACTGGGAAAAAAAAAAAATTGCGAACTCCGCTTTTAGGCTTGGCTAAATCTATATATTACTTTGATTCATAACAGTGACCAGCATCTAATTTCTCCTAATAATATTACCCCAAAGCAAACATTATAAGGTCATGAGAATAAAGGAAATTTGCACCAACTAAAAAAGCTCTAACATCAGTATTCATTTTCTCCTTAGTCTTCTCTATGCAATTCTTTTAGTACTGACAACAAGAATTTGCTTCTTCAGTTGTTAATCATTCCCTTAATTCTCATGTTCTAGATGAATGATTCAGCAATATTGCTTTAAGGATGAATTAGATGCTAATCATTCTTAGCAGTGAAAGGGTACAACAAATTCTCCTTGGCAGCACCATAGGAGATGTATACAGAACAGTATGCACAACATGCATGAGGGCGTAAAGGGTCATAGAAAGTGACTAAAGTAATGATTTTGATTACTTCCACAGAATGTTGATAGTGTCAACTTTATCTTCATCAAAAGAAATGGACTCTACTTTGTTTCCACCACAAAGTTTAATATTTCACCTGCCTTTGGTGTTGAAGTACTAACAAGGTACAAAGTTATGTTATGAAATTAACCATTTAACTCTCATGAGTGACCAAAACAGAATTGCTCCTAACAAGTATCAATATAATTTCAAGCAGGCAAGTGACGAGAATGAAGGAAGATATTAATTAGGGGATTATTAGTTGATCAAATACCAAATTCTTAAGTCTAACATCACAAGAACTATATGGCAGACAGTAAGGAGAATTGCTAATAAGATCTTGGGAGTTAAAGGGTTAACTGAAAAGATTCCTGGTTGTCGTACATCTGTTCAGTACTACATCAAGAACAAGAACAAAAAAGTGACTCATGAGGTGCAGTCAAGTGTATCACTGATGTTCTTAACACATTTTGACGTTGTCTGTGATCAATATCTGAACAGACCCACGACTACAGGGAATCTATTAGTTTTATTTAATAAAGAAGCAAAAAAGTTACAATGGTGATGCTATTATGCTTCTGTCCTTTAGTAGATCATAAGTAAGAACCAATCTTTATTTCCTGTGTAATTTTTATTTGCTTATTGTATAATAGAAAATGGTTAATAACCCTTTCACTCCCAAGATCTGATTAATAATTCTCCTTACTATCTGCCATACAATTCTTATGATGTTAGTTCAGAGAATTTGGTATTGGATCAACTAATAATCCCATGATTGATATTCTTCTCTATTCTCATCACCTGCCTGTGTGATATTGTATTGATATTGTAAGGAGAAATTCTGTCTTGGTCACTTGTGGGAGTGAAAGGGTTAAAACTTTTTATTGAACTGACTGTGCATTTGGTACCTTAATTTACAATTTGTTCACATGAGAGACAAATACATAAAGCAAACCTAGTAAAAGGAAGATAAAAATTGTTTTTAAAAATCACAAGGCTGTGCTCTTTAGAGGATTTGGTGGGATAGACAACTTATATTTTTCACTGGACAACTTTTACAACTTGATACTTGTGAAAACATGGAGGGTTCGGCTATAGTGTAGCTGTGTTTGTTATTCTGCTGAGAGTACTGTATGTCCTTAGTATCCTTCAATACCCAGAAGTGATTAACAAGTTACTTCTTCCTATAATATCCATACCTTATTCAGCAAACAGGTAAAGAGAATACTTAAACTTATCAGCAATGAGTCAACTTGTCTTGACCAAACACCAAATTCTTGTAAATAATTTACAAGGAAATGTGTAGCACCTCAAGTTGAGAATTAACAATCAGATCTTGAAAGTTAAAGGGTTAACTGGAGATAAATGTTTTTGTAGAATTTCAGATCTTTGCAAGGATTACTGTGGTGTTCTTGATGAAGAAGCAATCAAATGTAATTTCCCTCTTATTTACGAGCTGCTGGATGAAGTATTGGTAAGCTGCATCTTCCTTTCACTCTTAATAGTGATTAAAAAGGAAGTTCTCCTTACAATAATACCACATTTTCTAACAACAATGGAATATTGTTTGATTAAACACCAAATTCTCTGGGCTAAAACAGTTCATTCTTTTCTACCAGACACTTTTGTAAGCAGACACTTCTACTTACAAAAAATATTCGAATTCCCATTTTTGCTTTCCAGTTTAACTCTGTATTTACACATTTCTGTGAGTGGACACTCTATTGTAAGCTGTCGTGGACACTTTTTTAAATGAACATTGGATTTTGCTTTTGTTTACACTCTCTTGTAAGTGCACATCCCACCAATAATAATTGACTATTGGCAAAAAAATTTGCCTTCAATGTGCAAATCAACAAAAGACAACCCTTGACAGAAAATTTGCCAATGGTGAAGCAAGCTGTTGATTAATTTGAAAGTAACAAGAGTCCAGTATAACACTCTCCAGTAAGCAAACATCTGCCCACTGTTTCTTTGTTTTCCCCTTGTGAGAATCATCTTGAAAGGCAGACAGTTCCTCGAATTGACATTTTTGTCCAATTCCTGAGGATGTCCACTTATCAGAGAGTTTGCTGTATTTCAAAAAGAGTTTGGAGAATTGGTTTTGAGGTCTTGCTTGTAAATAAAAGGGTTATAGAACAAAGAGGAAATATTATGTATACATTGTCAAATAGTGGAATCAGACAGAGTGCATTTGAATTGAGTTTTGTGAAACCAAAACCTTTGATAATGTACTGTAATTACAATTTTAAATCAAAGTAAATTGAAGTAAATATCACACTGAGCTAACAAGAACTTGATTAACAGCACTTACAAGAAAATTGACTAAAGCATGATATTAGATAAATATTACCACTTCTCATTTAATTTTAGTTTTGCTTATGATTGGTTTACTGTATTACCCCTAAGAGTGACCAGCATTTAATTTCTCCTACAATATTACCCCTGAATTACTCAGTAAGGCCATGAGAGTAAAGGAAATGATCAACAAGCTAAGAAGCTCTTGATTGTTAAACAAATTCTCCTCATCAGCACCTTAAGAAATGTATAGAGAACAGTATGGAGAATATGCATACTGATGTTAGGGTGTAAAGGGCTCAGAGGGTGTTGCAAGTTTTCTAGAGAACTCACTGAGTACAGTGAAAGAAAACTCAATGATATAACCCAGAAAATGTTTAACACTAGATAATTGTACAGTTCTTCTATTTCTGTTAACTTTCATTATTGTGCTTTGAAAAGTTCTAATAGCGGCAATCTTGCCTGCTTTCAAGATTTTCATCATCATTTACTTCTCCTTTGCAGGATTTTGGGTATGTCCAGGTTACATCAACAGAGAATCTCAAGGCATATGTATGTAATGTCCCTGAGGTAGCCACAAGATCAGAGGAACCACTGTGGCAGTGTACTGGAAGAGTAGTAGTAAGAACTTGCAATTCCTGTTGGGGAACAGAGCATTTGATCCTAGTCATCTGAATTGTTAATGCAACCAACCATGTTGTAAATTTTGTTCTATGAGTCTTTTCCCCCTGAGGACATCCCTTTTTTTTTGACAGTATGGTACTGATAAGATGTCTCTGCCAAGTACTGCTGCTAATAAGCCTGTGGTTCTTCCAAAGATGATACAGGTAAGTGAGACAATTCTCCTAGTTAGACTCAACAAGGGTAGAGGCAATATGCCCATCTAGAAGGGCTATGGTGAAAGACACTTCCTTATGGATTTCTGGCCACAGCTGCTTATTAAACCCTTGCAGCCACTTAGGGAAAAGCTAGTGAAATTTATGCAGACCCCCACTCTTTTACATAATGATATTCTGAAAATAACCCAGACCATATGTTAGGTTTATCATGCAAATATGTTTAATACAGCCAACTCTTATTCCAATCTGCTGTTGATCCAAAATAACAATGATTGCAACTATTCTTGTCCATGTTTACACAGAGAGGAAAGAAACGGGAAGTATTTTTGGATTTGTTAGAAAGGCTTACAGTATTGGTTGGTACAAATGTAAGTAATTTTTCCCGACAATAATGCTTTACACCACAACATCAGTATAAATCAATAAAAATGCTTGAAAATCTATATTCTTTGGGACAAAGCAACATGCGGAAGCCATTCATGGTTGCAAAAGGGTTTTGTAAACAGCCGCGTACGAAGAAATTGATTTGTCATATAAACTGCGGTGTTTCACAAAGATTTCCAGCCTTGAGAAAAGCCGTTAATGCACACGTGTAAAACTACAATAATATTTTACGTGTGTTTGATATCGGCAAACAGCTGCTGATGCGTTGCTCGTCTTTCTCATCACTCTGTCGAGTTGATGAATGACAGACAAAGCGATCACCATTCTTAATCTATGGTAGTTTTTCGAATTTTCATGTCAGTAAAGGCCTATGGTGTTAAAAGAAAACAAATAAACAAAATATTATAAGGTTGCTTGCAGATTTGGAATTTCTCTTCTCGTGTCCAACTCGATAATTCACTCGTTTACTGCGCTCACTCGTGAGATATCGAGCTAAACACTTGAAGAGAAATCTTATCTACGCGCGCCCATGTGTTATTCTCTATTTGTCTCACAAGTAAGAGCATATTGTCCGTGTGACCATTAAATTTGTTTTTTTCTTCAAGGGGAACATTTTAAGGAGTGAAATTGATGGATGCATTCTGATGAAAAACTTTGTGGCTGGTTCTCCAGAAGTAAAGATCATGTTAAATGACGATTTCTTTGTTGGAAAGTCTGATGTGGTTTCCAGAGGTAATGGAAAATTTAGAAACCAGAAACAATGTGGGATATCACAACGGGAACTACAGCAACAACAGCGAAAAGCTGAACTCGCTTCAGCCATGCGTTGTTTTGTTCCCGCCCATATTTCCTTTTAAGTCGATTCATGACAGGTTCAGCTTTGTTAACCAATGAAATGTCACAGGTTGAGTTTGGCGAATCGGTGCCTGAGTTATAACGCTCATCTAATCTTTGGTATGGAATCATTATGGGAACACAGCAATCCATATTATAAGAATTTATTTTCGTATTTAATAAATGTGTATGCCTTAATTTGAAAAGGTTTGTTTTCCACGCTATACTTTTCCTGTTTCTCTCTTTAGTTGACAGTGTAGCATTGAGGCTGGACGACTGTACGTTTCATGAGTCTGTCGACTTAACCAACTTTGAATCAACACGAACACTTCTAGTGAATCCACCAGAAGGAGAGGTCTGGAACTGTTTTGATTTTATTTATCATTGTTGTTATTGTTTTTAAAACAATTAACGTATAGAAAAATTTATTGAAATCCCTGGGAGGAGTAGCAATGTTCATGGTTGATTCAAGCTACAGAAACCATAGCCTGCGGTGAAAGCTTCTTACTAGGGCAATTAACGTTAAGAAGCTCGCGATCGTTTATTCAACCATCCCTGTTTGATTTGGAGATAGAGGCGGTGGGGGGTAGGGGGTGGGGGGTGGGGGCAGCGAAGGGCAAAATCTTTACTACCCCACCCTTACCCCTTTCCTTATTTTTGACAGGCGACCGCCCTCTTGGTACAAATTTCTTTCTCACCCCAGCCTTCTGCTGACATTTAAAACAAACATGGCGGCCACAATTTTTGGTTAGGAAATACTGAGTACTCGCTCGCCAAAATTGCGCCTGCTATGCAGGCTACTGAAACCATGCTTATTTCCTGCAGCATGTCCAGTCAGCCAAAAGTGCTTTCAGAGCATATTTCAAAGTTTGTTATTCTTGTTACGAATACTAACTTGTGTTCTCTCTCTACAGTTTGTTGTTATGAAATACCGACTTTCAGAGGCCAACCAGTCAAATCTTCCTTTTACCTTGATTGCCTTTGTCGAGGAAAATGAAGATTCAAAGTATGTTTTGCATGTTTTGTTATGTTTCCTTCTAATCTGTAAAACCCTTAGCTGGTAATGAATCCTCGCAAATCTTCGAGGGTCTTCGAACTTGATCGTTCCCTACACGAAACATCGTAAACGTAAGTCGTCGTGAAATCGAAACATTTTCGATTCTTGGACTGTTGGCCGACCTGTTTATAGTAGAGAGATACCAGATTGACCGTGGCTTTAGATCTATATCGGTTGCTAACATTTCTTGTTGTTTCTGAGTAGAATTCTTGAAGTCGCACTCAAGTTGAGATGCAATGTGCCTTCCTCAAGGTAAAATGAACATCAAAGGAATATTTGATTAAACGCGGAAAGAAACTTAGATTCTGATTTTTCTTTGGTATGCCTTTTCGTACCGACAACATAGTTTTGTCTAAGACGCATGCTCATCTGATTATAACGATTGTAAGGTTGCGTATTTCAGCCTTCTTTTGCAATAAACCGTATTATTATTTGTTTTGAAAATATCATGCAACCAAATCCTGAAAGTTGTGACCTTGAAACTAATATTCCCTTGTTAGTAAGAAAAGAGGAATACGCCTGATGGAACGAAGTTTTCCAACTCACGTTTATAACGCAGAACCAAACGTGAAAATTTGAAACAGGGGGGAACACTTCTAAAAACTTTGTGTGTGATCATATGCATGTTTTTGTTTCGAAATAGGATTTTCACTTCCAACGGCCAGTGTACAGTTTTAGTCCGTAAAGAATGATAAGAAAATGTTGTACTCATTACTTCCGTAAAGCTATAAGCGCGTCCCCCCTCCCCTCCCCCACAAAAAAGTGTGGTTCCGTTACTATATCCCTTTGTTTATTCTTAGTTGCGCCAACAACATTGTTGTGAAGTTACCGGTACCAAAGTTAACAGACAGGTATGGTGATATTGTTAGGAATTGATATGATTCTGTAAAAATCATCCGTGTAATTTCACCCTTGGGCAAAGTTCTTTCACTGAAAAATTCTCGCCTGAACTCGAACCTTGCTGAGCGCGGTTTAAACCATCCGTTAGAAAGGTTTTGGGGGCTGGGTCAAAATGTTCTAAAGGAAGCATATGTTAATCTAGGATTAAAAGTAAACTTTGGCTTTATTTTCTCATGTAGAATAGCGCGTATGAGAGCTGCGTTTTTGTTCGGTTTTATTTCGACATAACTCGAAACTAACGGGGAGAAAGATATAAAAGAAAAATATTTTTGCAAAGCTATAAAATTAAATTGAAAATTTACAGCAACCCCCGGGTTAATAAATCGTCTTTTAAACAACTCGGCCGCTCTGGAGGATGACAGACAATAGCGGTATTGTCCTAAAAAATTTCAAACCATATCAACGCTCGAAGTGTGATATGCATCAGATAAAGAAAATCTCTTTCTTTTTAAAATTTCAAGTAACAATTTTTCCCTTCCTTTCCCCCCTTTGTATTATTTTTGTACTCACGCGTGGCATGCGTGATTCCACAAATAAGCCAACACGTCAAAGAACTCTAACCTTGACATTGGAAACTGACGTGGACATTTTTCGCCTACTTTTTGTTTGTTTACGCGGAGTTTTGGTTGTTTTTGAGCTTTCGTTCGCGTAAATTTGTTACCCCTTTGTTTGGAATATTAAGCAGTTTGGAGTTTTTATTTTGTGATGTGACATTTTCTGCTATTTTTGTTCTTCCATTTTCCAACAGTGTTTCACATCACATAACATCCGGGACACAAACAGGAGAGTTCAAGTCATCCGAAAAAGCCTGGTACTGGAATATTAAGAAACTTCAAGGAGGGTCGGAATTATCAGCGTCTATTAAGGTTACTGTTTGAATTCCTTACCATCGTCTTTTGAAACTTAGTAAGCCGTCGTTCCCGGAAACTTTTTTGATTAGTTGGCTTTCTAATGGAACAGTGTACGATCGGAGCCGTGTGAGAAAACTTGTAACATTCTGCAAACGTTAGAAAACATTTAGCAGTTTTAAAGCGCACGGAAAGAGCGGGAGACATATAGCATTTAGAAAACGCAGGGAAACATATCCCCTCTTGAAAGTGCGGGAAAGTGTGTGTTTGGAAAGCGCTGGAAAAAGTGTGGTCTTTGGAAAAAGCGGGGAAAAGTATGGTCTTTGGAAAGGGCGGGAAAAAGTGTGGTCTTTGGAAAGCGCGGGAAAAGTGTGGTGTTCGGAAAGCGCAGGGAGGCATGGAGTATTTAGAAAACGCGAGGAAACATATGTGGCCGGTAATTTAGACGAGATCGAACTCAAATCATGGTTTTACGCAATCAGTAGGCCACAGGCTCTCTCCTTAAGAGGGTTGATTGAGTAAAATGATGTCCTTCCTGTGTAAGCTTTCGGCCCTCTCAACAATGTTCGCAAAAGTAAATGTTCAGATTAAGGTTTAGCTGAGGAGAGAGAGGAATAGTGTGGCGTTTGAAAAGCGCTGGGAAAAGGGTAGCGTTTAGAAAGCGCGGGAAAACATGCAGCGTTTGGAAAGTGCGGGAAATTTTGTAACGTTTGCCAAGGGCGGGAAAATATATGGCCTTTGTAAAACGCGGGGACACGCAGAGCGTTTGGAAAGTGTGGGCAAAGAATGAAAGCAAGTAAATGTTAACGAGCAGTTGGTAATTTACAGCTGCTAAAATTTTTGTTTTAGCCAATTGATTTTCAAAGTGTCTGAATTTAGTGTCTTTCTGTTTCGTAGGCGCATATGAGTGAAATACGAAAATCTTCACGGAAAGAAGTCGGCCCCGTAAGGTCAGCATTGTATAAGTTTGAGTTATCTCAGGGACAGTTTTTTACATAAGTATTGCATGACATTATCACCCACTTATTTGTATTGTCTTGAAACATTTCTCTCTGTATTTCAGTTTGGACTTCGAAATACCAATGCATATATGCTCCGGTCTCCAAATCCGATATGTGCGCGTACAGGATCGAGAGAAAGCTTGCAGCCTCTTTCGCTGGGTTCGTTACATCACTCATAGGTGAGATGTTAGTGTTACAAGATTCGTTGCTTCAGTTTTCAGTGGTTTTGATTTAAGTTTTCCATGGCATAACATCGAAAGTACCTAATCTCTCTCAAATCTCTTCATGCCTTATAAATTCTTAATGAGATAAACACTATACTGGATCCAACTCGTCTTTTACCCATGACACCAGCTTGTCACCACTCCCCCCTATTTCTGCCCTTTCCCTCTATTGTTTTGATTTAACTTGGAGAATTTAGAACTTTTGATGGGCCCGATTGCTAGTCGCTTCCCTTCGGGGGATCGACGAGTGTGATGCGAAAAACGGCGGGTCTAACCTTTTAGCTTTGTGAAAAAATTGAGATCATGCCTTATGTCCTAACCGTGGTTTTTTTTACTTTCTTCCTAGCGATTCCTATGTGTTTCGTATATAACTGGAGGCTGCGGAGAATATGCCGGGAAGATACTGAAAAACATCTCGGATAGATCGAGCTCTGGTTTAGAAAAGCTAATTAAGTGCTACGTGTTCGCCTCTTCTTAAACGTTAAGCGCGCATTGCATTTTGGTGAATATCATGGTAGTCATGGAAATTTAAAGAAAAGTTAATCCATAGATCGCATAAATTGTAACTCAAGTTCGATGGGTTATTATTTCTCACAACTTAGTGTTTTGAAGTCACCGATTCAGTCTGAGCTTTCACTGAAAGGAGAAATAAAGTAATAGAATTCTTGGGAATTTGTCCTCATTTGATTTTGTTCTTGTTGTTTGTTTAGATTTTTATTTTTTTTCATTTGTTGGAAACATGTGGCGCCTGGGATCATACCGTGATGATCCAGGGGCGGATTCAGGGGTGTTTACCAAGGGGGGGGGGGGGGGGTTCAAAATTAACTATCGACCAACCAAGCCCCCCCCCCTCCCCTTCACTAACGTTTTCACAAAAAAATCATAAGAGAAAAACATGAGAGAAGAGAGAGGATATGAAGCTGGAGACGTACGAATTTATTTAGTTTGTTAAGGCATTTCTAGCATGCGATCTACCACAACAAAAGATGCACCTCTGCGCCCTCATAGCGCTCGTACTTCTTGATTTTTTCCAAGCACCGTTCACGCATTTCATCTCGCCGTGTAACACTCGTAGCACGAGCAATTGTTAACGTGACGAACTCTCTCCGCTTTCCCATAAGGACAATGCGTAGATTGTTCTGTGTACCCCGTACTCTTGCAACACTCACACACCATTCTGTACCGGAGGGAAGCCATGAGAATTCTACTTCAGGAGTGGTATGTTCCTCGACATGTTTGAATTGTGACGTCTTTCTTTCCATCAGATTTTAAACATCTGTCGGTTCACGGTCACATGTGACTCCCCATTCCTCCCAAATACCGGCCCATGTTAGCTGAATGAATACCATTGTGGCAAGTACGACAAAAATCCTGAAAATGACAACAATCAAGTGATGCTTTAAGAACAGGCCATTCTTTACCGCCTGTTGGGGAAGGGGGAGGAGTGTTAGTTATATCACGATAACATTTACCTGACCCCCCCCTAAGCTCAGTAATATCCTATGATCCCCCTCAATGGCATTTCATTGGCAGTCAATTTTCTACAGTCCTCCCCCCCTTGTACTCTGTTGGCGACGACTGCTCCCCAGTCCGTTCCCCCTAAAAACCATGTGATCCCCCCATAATCCTCTGCATATCACCCCCATCTTAGATCCTCGAATGTGATTGGTTAAACGTGCGATCGTAACCAGCTTTTTACACTATGGACCACTATCCGGAATTTTTCCGCGCCATTCCGCAGCAAAGCGGAAAAAAAAATCAGAAGTTATTTTCGGACCTCGCATACAATAGTTTGCCATACGGACTTCCCACACGGTAAATAACATATGTGTATCCAGCATAGTGATGAGATGTAAATTTGTGTCAAAGACAGATGTCTGAGATGAACACACGCAGTTTGTTAAAAGGAACACGTCTTTTAAAATTTTACCTTCGCTTTTTATACCTCGATCTCTTGCTTCAAACGTCATGTCTCACGCCAAGGGAAACTGGCAACCATCACGACCCAACATCAACGAAAGAACCGAGTATATGTTTAACAACGATCTCTACAGCGACGTGAAGTTTATTGTGCCTAAGACTGTAGGAGAAAGTAAAATTAAACGACAGATTCCAGCTCACAAGTTCATACTGTCGATCAGCAGTCCTGTGTTTGAGGCAATGTTTCACAATGTGCTAGCGGAGCGTACAGACACCATTGAACTGCCTGACTGTGAGTACGAGAGTCTGCTGGAGCTGTTTCGCTACATGTACAGCGACGAAGCCAACTTAAACGGAAATAATGTGATGGGGGTGCTGTATTTAGCGAATAAATATATAGTGCCTGCACTGGCTGATATATGCGTGACTTATTTGCAAGAAAACGTGGATTCATCAAATGTGTTCAACGTTCTACCCTCGGCTCTGATATATGAAGAGAAAGAGTTGGTAGAGGAATGTTGGGACGTGGTTGATAATCAAACAGAGCAAGCCTTGAGATCGGAGGCTTTTAAGACAATTGAGAGATCCTTACTTGAAGCAGTTGTCCAAAGGGATAGCTTGGCTATTAAAGAGTTGAATTTGTTCCAAGCAGTCAATCTCTGGGCGGCAAAGGAATGTGAGAGACAAGGATTATCAAAAAACGGCAAAGTGAAAAGAAGAATTCTTGGAGAGTCCATCGTGAGAGGAATACGCTTTCCTCTTATAAGACAAGCTGAATTTGCCAGAATTGTTCTTGTTAGTGAAATACTTACAACTCAGGAAGTCGCTAGATTTTTCAAATATTACAATTACGCCCAGCCCGCGTCTTCACTGGGATTTTTGGATTCCAAACGAACAGGATTCAGCGATCATAGGATTTATCATTGTCGCAGATTTAGATCACTACTAGATGGAAGAAACAGAGTTAACGGGGGAAACAACGATCGACTCCTTTTTCGTGTGGACAGAGATATTATTGTACATGGTGTCGGCTTGTTTGGAAGCGATAACAATAGCTACTCCATCACTGTGGAGTTAAAAGAAAGTGGCCAAACTTTCCCTGAAGAGGTCGTATCGGAAACTGTTCAATGCACGTATATACCATACAAATGTGATTTCTATTTCGGATGTGAACTTATGTTCCACGCTCCAATTTATGTCAAGAAAAATACAGACTATGAATTTAAAGCGATCATTCATGGTCCGCAATCTTGGGTCGGGAGAAATGGAACTGCCATCATCCAATATATACTTCCCATAGCGAGATTTACATTTACAAATGTCAACGATGTCAGTAATGCCACCACCACTAAGGAGGGGCAATTTCCCGAAATATTATTTTCCTGTATTGTTTGACAAGGTGATTTTTCTTACAGCGAGGCACTAACTAAACTTAAGCCACATTTACATAGTCGCGGGTACCCAAGACAAACCTTCCCGCGAGACAACTTTACGGAACGTTTTTATGGTGTTGTGGGTTACAACAACTGTCCTCTAACCAGTCTCCCTCGAACGGTTAGGCAAGTGACATGTTGAAATGGCGGACCGCAGAAGACAATTTGAGCCGTCTCGTCTCGGGCAGGCGAGCCGAAGTGAGGAAAAGGTGTTCCGCCTGACAGGGTCACGCTATCTCCCGAGGCGAGACCTCATGCTTACCCTTCCCTGTTGTCTCGCCTCTCGAGACAAGTTCGTCATATAAAAGGTTGGTTTGATTTTTCAAAAAAAAAAAAAAAGCGAAAAGTTAGCTCGTCCAGGGTAAAACGTGAGAAGGGAGGATTATCTCGGGAACCCGAGATCATATTGATGGGCCCTTACTTTTCCTTGTTTTTGCTTTTTATCTCTGTGGAAAAGATGGTAGATTTATAACTAAGTCGTCGACTAAATATATCATGGAATAATTAAAAGTGTGTCGTGAAGCGTTTCTACGCTCAAAATTGATTCCCTTGTTTTATCATATTTATAATTGTGTATTAAGCAAGTTGTAATTTCGTTACCGTTAAGGTTGAATTTTTCTAACGTTAAAGTGAAGTGTTCCACGTTACATTCTACTAGGATAATCAAATAAGTTCCGCCGACAGAGATGTATCGAATTAGGTATTTCCAGGGCATTAAGCGCGTAGGAACATAGCAGCATGATTGTCAAGTAAACCCATGTTTGATAGGAAATTAGTACCCGCGAATCGTTGTAGAACGTGAGCAAGGCTTGAATCCCACATGGAATTAGTTAACTGGGTGTGGAGCTAATAAATGCAGCGATTTTTGTAACCCTAGGTTAGTTTGGAATGGAATAGATAGATAGTTGGACGGTACGTGTAATGCTGAATTTTCGACAAATAAAGCCTGAATCGAGTGAAAGTATACGGTCCAAGATTATTGAACCAGCGTGTGCGGAATTCTCAGTGACGCTAGTGGGAAATTATGCGAAAAAGAATTCGATCTCCAGACTTTCGGATTTTTAATATTGGGCTAATCTCGTACCCAGATCCTACCGTATAAGTGTAACCGAACCACTTGGCCATGGAAGGTCTGGGTACGTGACTTATACTTGGGTCATATATTAAAGTGGCAAGTGATTAGCTTCCTGTTTTGATCAACAATTTTGAAAGCTTTGTTGGTGTACTAGATGGGATGGTAAGATGATAGAGTATTTCAATAATTGTACCGTCATACTACAGCCTTTGATGACAAACTGCATCAGCAGTGTAATATTCTCTTGGGGCACTCTGCGGTGTCGCCTGCAACGATCTTCAAGGACTGAGAAACTTCCAAACTCTGTGATTAAGCGTCGCTAGTTTGGCGAAGGAAACCCTTCATGATTGCCGACCGTCGTCGAACTCACAACCTGCTGTGAAATGGTCCTATTCACTTATCCCTGAGCTACATAACTATAGGATGGCTTTTACCGATAACATAATTACAGTCAATAATCTTTTAAGTAACTAGGGGCGTGTTCCTCGAAGATCAGGTAACCTAACCGAAAAACCTGTTTGTTTGCCGGGTCTTGCTCAAGATCGAGATATCAGCAGTTAAAAAATTCAAACAAAATATATATATATTTCAGGAAATGAAACAGAATGATTTTCAATTTTGAGCTGAGAACCGCCCTATCATTTTGAAGATTTAAATGATCGATCTGAAAATAGTACTTTCGGTTTATGGATTAATATTTACCCGTATGGCTTTCGAAATATTGATCCAGGCCCTTACCACTTTTTGGTCTGAGTATGCCACCAGTAATCTCTTCATTGAGACATTCATCAAAGAAAAAGCAACGTGCTGGTATCACACAAACCAAAACTTAAACAATGAAGTACTTCATCATAATAACTTCAGCTTCACTGTTTTTGATCAATCAGGATTGAACAACTATATAACACACAAAAAAATTTCACTTAGACCAAAAATATCAACTTCAATAGACAATGAACAACACTTTCTTTTTTGGATAGAATTGGCATTTTGATCTTCCTTTTATCATGAATCCTAAAACCTGAATATCCTAGGTTTTATCAAGATATATAAGACAAGGTTAAATGGAACAACAATATATACAAGAAACTGAATAAAGGGGTAAGTTTCTAAAGAAACTGTGATGCTGCGTCGATGGGAGAGTATACCCTGTCTCGGTAATTTAGTGTTGTTGGGGGGATCACATAGTTTTCAGGGGAAAGGAGGGAGAATCAGTCGTTGCCTAATATCGTACCCAGATCCTACCGTGAAACTATAACTGAAATGTACGTACTACCGTTTGGCTGTGGAAGTCTGGGTACAAGACTAGTCTTTGCTAACAGAGTATACATGGAGGACTAAAGAAAATCTATCCGGATTCCGGATAGATAATGATCAGTTCCCTAGTTGAAGTGAAAATCTTTAAGTGAAAACCCCCTCGGCATCGATCGCTTACACTTTATCATCAATGAAGAACGAGGATAAATTTGATAATTGTTTTATTTGAATACCTCAACCAGCAATCAGGTCGTTGAGACGCAATCAAGCCTTAATTTACTCATAATCAGCTTAAGATGGTCAGTACCTTACGCTGCATGCGTTAAATTGGAAATTTCAACATTACCATACTTGAAAACGAACAATCTACCCAATAATGTGTTCCAAATATTGTTAGTTTCATGTTCCCTATACGTTCCTGGTTTTATTTCCTCTGTATGGTTTTACTCAAAGTCAGCTAGCTTTTGTGTCCTTTTTCCTACGCTCAATAGCATCTTGAACACACGCAGGCTGCCGCGTCCTTTATTTTCTCCACAGTTCCATCGTTGCACTCTCTATCCCGTTCTAGGAATCCTTCAGCTCTACAACACGTGCAAACTGTTCGGTCCCATGAACTCATTGTAATTCTACTTAAAGACCTGCACGTTCCGCGGCATACATGAACGTCCTCAACAAACTGTCCACCACAAACCCGTATTGCCTTTTTTTCTTTCTCACACGTCACCCCCATATCCGCCCAGTAGTCTTTAGCGCATGTCTCGTAATTTAACATCAACATGGCGATCGTGATGTAAACTAAATTTCTCATCATGCTACAAAAAGAGGACAGAAAAGAGATCAAAACTTGACAACTTGTTTTTATTCTACGCTAAATATAGGATTTCAACGCACAGTTAAATCATTCTAAGATTTATTTTGGGAGGGAACAGATAAATTCAAAGGCGGGTCCAGAACTTTTTGATAGGAGGTGAAGGGAGATAGGCCAAACTTTGATTTAGAAAACATGTAGTTATTTCTTAAACCGGAATCAAAATGAGCAAGGAAAAATTTCAAATAAATTTTCAATTTCTTAAGTTGAGTATTAAAATGTGATCTCGCCAGAAAAATCATCATGGTTTCAGACAAGCTTAAAAAAAGTGCCCACAGACCAAATAGGCGTGGGGGGTGGTGGGGAAAGGGTGGAAGGAGAAAAGAGGTTGTTCGGAGCCCCCAGATTCCCTAACCCTAAATCCGCCAATGAGAAGCCACCCAAGTTCTTTCAAAACTTCGTAATGCGGTCACATGTATCATTTGAACTGTCAATCACCAAGATTGAGTTGCGCGGCACATTTTACAATTAATTTAATCAGTAATGCATTAGAAGAGTGATTAATGGGAGAAATTGTATTTCACACTCCGATTTTCGTTATTGATATTGCAGCAAACTTCTCAGAATTTAGAAGATTTCGTTACTAACAACATGAAACTTAAGATTAATTTGTTCACAACTTGTAAGTCTTGTAATGAACGAATAGCCAGCTCAGTCGAAAGAAGCACCCAGATAGTATATTAGAGGCCTGGGTTCGAATTAGGTTTCTTTTCTGCAATTACTAAAATTGCAGTCCTCCTTTCTTATCTCGATTTAATTTTTTTTTATTCAATTGAAATTTAATTTCATTTAGGTAAAGTAAATAATACGCTTTATGGTGTAACATGAATGGAAATAAGTATCTTAAGTAAATTCTCTTGAAAAAAAGTTTTAAAAACTTCATGTTTCTTTTGATGAATATCCTGAGGGTTAAAATGAAATAAGCTTCACGGCGTTGGTTAAAACAACACAAGAGATTATTTTTCTGTTTTTTATCTCTCGCCCGAAAAAACAACAACAGCTCCAATGGGTTTTTTTTCTGCAATCATAGCTAAGAGTTTATTTTTGCTCAGCTTGATAGCAAAATATTTTTCTTAAGCAGAGAATGTTGGCTTTATGTAGAAGAGATTGTTTGGTGAGTATTCTGAATTCGTTATTGTTGCACGTGTGATTGCTCAAATTTTACGATAATTGAAAAACGCTATCGATTATTTAAGAGAGTTAGCTCAAGCTGAATCGTGTAAAAACCATGTCTCTCCGAGTCGAATATTTATCTAAAATAATTTACGGTAAACAAAGATATAACGTTATTACAATTCAATAAAGATATATTGTAAAATTAGAAACAGTTTATTAATTATTTATATGACTGCGTTTTGAATTCATCACCAATTGATCAGGACTTATGTTTTTAATTGAAAGGATAAAATTTATTGAGATTAAAGTCTACTAATTTTAAACAAACTGATATTTTGGGATACGATGAAATCAGTTGATCACAGATGGTGAAAAAAAACATTAAGAAAAAGATAGGTAAAAATCATAATTCTTTGTTTCTAGTTTCAGAATGTTGCTCAAAAAGTGTCACAACTGGTGTTCAATCTAAATTTTGTACAACTCAATATTTATCAACATTTAGGTGATATATCTTGCCTTCTCTAAAGAAAGTCTTACCAACGAGGATTTTATTATTTCATCGTAAAAACTACGAAAAATGTTGAATGGAGATGGCATGAACATGGTTCATGATCTATTGCTGTCTTCATAAGCAACTAAAATAGAAATGCTGTTATTTGACTTAAAAAGGTTTTAAAACGAAAAATAGATTTTTTTTCAAAAAATGTCATATTCAAAGTGATAGTTGTAGAGCTTTGTGTACAATCGCAAATGGTTTTAGTCTTACCTTGGTTAGGATGTCTTCGAGTTCTTTGAGCAACTGTTTCAGATGACTTCACTCTTTCGGATTTATTCCCAAGCTATCTGTTTACGTGAATGACGCGTCTGACACAAGGAAAAGCCCTATGTGAACTCTGGCGTCTGTTGAAGGAGAAATTTATTATTTGAATGACGTGTTTGCGCTACGTCGGAAGAAGCAGATGAAATGAAATGATGATCAAAAGGGGGAGGCTAGTATGTTTCACAATGAAGCGGAAACTGAATTAATGAGATCAGTTAAGAATTACAATTTAATTTAGGTGAAATGGGGAGATGCTTTGTTAAAGAAAAGCGTGGGTTTCTGCCGTCAGAGGCGATCAGGGGTTGAGGGCACGGCGTGTCTTATCAGGGTACTTACAAAGCGGGCGAAAATTTACACATGAATAGCACGTGCGAGTACACGTTTGGCTTTGTTTTCCGAGAGTGTGCAGCTTTGGAAAAATAAAAGCTTTTATAATCAGTGGGAGAAAGACATCTCTTACTAAATGCCGTCAAAATTAGCGCCGGATAATCGCTTTTCTCAATAGGCCGCGTCTCTGGTCATTTGACACTTTTTGGAATGGGTAAACAATGGCAAGAAACCATCTCAATAAAAATTAAATTAAAAACTCATCAACTTCAACTAGAGAAGTGCGAAACAGGTGAATACAGTAAACTGTAAGCTGCTTTTTCATGTGAAACCCAGTTTCGCAATCTTTCTTAAATACTTGTCCTTATTCCTCAAAGCAAGAGAGATCAGTATCCAACAATTTTCTTCACAAACTTTAATAATTGATGCAGTATTGTGCAACGTTTGAAATTCAACGCTAGGAAACTGAATGAAACGGGACTTACAAAAGAAAATTTGACCGAGATGTCCGAAAGTTCATCAAAATTTGCAAAGATTACTCCCGTCTCAAGGATTCGGACAATCAGTAGTGACTTAAAGCCACAAGATATAAGGCATGAGAAACGTTTTACGTGATGTTTTCGATAGAAAAAAACAGCCGCGCAGAAAGTACGCACAACTCGTCAGTTAACCATTTGTTCGAACTCACAAACAACTCAATCAATTTTCAATTGAGCTCAAGTTAATTACTTCTTGTAAACTTAAAGACTACCTGAACAAAGTTGTCCGATATCGCCAAAGTTTCGCCCCTTTCCGGATTTTGATTCATATAGAAAACAAACAGGGGCATTTTTATTAAACAAAAGATAAAACTAAATAAAGTGCATTTACATCAAAAAAGCTTCGACGTAAACACCTGTTTTACAACAAAATGTAATTTATATCGCGAACATCCTTCTCACAAAGTTGTAAAACGGTATTTCGTGAATGAGAGATCTCTACTGAAGCCGCAGAATCTGAGTATTACCTAAACAAGTAAGTAATTCCTATTTCAAAGTAACAAACTCGCGACTGTTTCTCTTTTATCTATGGAAATAATCTACATGAAATGGCAACACCTGACTCTGGTTTTTAGCGTTGTATTAATTTACTTGATCCTCGGGACGCGTTAAAGCTATTAATCCAAAATACTCTCGACGCATCACGCTTCTCTAGAGCTATTTTTCAGTTTATAAGATTCACACAAACGAATATTCAACATTTCTACATTTTACAATTTAAATCACTTTCTCGGAATTTACTTCGACGTGTTTTCTGATCGATTATAGTTGTTCATTATATGTTTTGGCGCAATTTTTTTTTTTCAAAATTAGAAACATTTTTCAACAGGAAAGCGTCATATCCCCTTAAAATCTTTTATTTTACGAATTCTGTAAAGGAACAAACATGAAAAAATTATTGAGTTACCGGTGTTTTATTTTCTGTCTGTCTATGGTTGTACTAGAATCATGACGAATATATCACACAAGATTACTTGTCAAATTCATTTCGTTTCTGTCATTTATTTGAGTTGCGTAGGACTGTCTCAGTTTCAATAGGATAATAAACTAAGTTCTCTATCGAAAACATCTCTGATCGTTCTTTGCGTGGTGACAATGAAAGATTGAAACTAAATCATAAAGCTATGTATAACACGCCAACCTATTCAATTGATTTAGAATCTTATAACTTTATTTCTATTACTGGATTCTCTAAATCTGATCACAAATATTTCTAAGAACGGATTTAAGATTATGCAAAGTTTTCACCGAAAGAATTTATGAAAAAGATTTATTCAGTGATGAATTTTCTTGGATCATTGTTAAATCAATCTAAGGAAGTTATAACTTATTCTTGTATGCAGCTAAAATACATAAAAAACCAAATGTATTTGAACGATTCGTTTCACAAAGTAGAGATCTTAGCATGTGAATTTCCAGTTAAAACAGTTACACTTACACATAGGACAGTCTCTCAAAAAAATTTCGTTTTAGTCAAGAAATGCCATCGAATTTGTGAAACATCTATATTAAAATCAGCCCACATAGAATATCCAGACAAACAAACAAACACAAACACAGAACTACCTATTTGCTACGAAATCGTTGAATTAAGTTTGAATAAGGTTTAAATTTTGATCAATTTGAAAGTTTCTGTTTAAAATGATTTTAAACTTTTAAAACAAGATAAACAATAAACAAAAATTTTGCAACAAATGATAGTTTTTTCTCCTTTCGAAAACTGTATCAGGATTTAAAAGTATGTCAACAACTGAAAGATCAAGTATCAGAAATATGATCTTTTCCTTCGTATGCCAAAACGGGAGATGTTCTTTTTCAAAAATATCTTACACAGAAACATCATTCAAGATTTACCGACAAGCAAAATGACATGAAAGATAAACATTCACCAAGGTAGAAAATTCTCCCATGTAGACTACTTTTATTATCTAGAAGTTTTCTACTATTGTTACATGGTAAAAAAAAATCAGTTTAAATCATATGTCCGTGTGAGTTTCTTTTTTCTGAATTGAAACTCATTGCATCAATAGATACAGAACATAAGTTATATTTTAAAAACAAAATTCAAACGCCGTCTATGTTACTTTCCGTAGGGAATCGAAAAATAATACTTGACATGTTCATTGTGATGTAGTTCCTTTCAGCTTTCTTTTATGTCTGACTTGCTTGAAAAATAAGACAAGTAATTAAAACTACAATTGACAAAGTCTGAAGCGCTGTCGGTTGAGTGAAACTGCTTCAGAGAATGACTAAATGTTGGGGTTTATACACCTACCTTGGAGGAAAGTGTTAGTTTGCTCGGTTTAACTGAACAAAGACTGAAAAAGAAAGCGTAATGTGGCATGGATTTTTTTCTTTATCGTATCATTACCAAGAGAGCCTAATTTCTCAACATGCCGGAAGCGAATCGCAATCACAGTGACGTTTGTTGCACAAGATGTGAAATAAATTAACGAGATAAGATCTATTTCAATTAAAAGCTTCCTCATTCGGTCAGCACATTAAGGTTTTTTGTTCCGGGAAAGTAATGTGCCGCTGGGATTAAATGCGAGGCAAATGAAAAGCCCAATTATAAGTTGTTGTTTCGAGTTTCCATTGGTATTACACTGTGGCTGCCTTCGTGTGCCTGACCATTTTACACTGAAGATGTTTCCAAGCCTTCTCTAAATTAAGCCGTTGTTGGTATTCGTCAAAAGCTACTCCAACCGTCTTCTAAAAAAAAAAACAGGTACAATATATCTTTTGACAGCAAAAATAATTCTCCTTCAAATGATAGCTATGAATATGCCCAGTCGCATCGAATCCGGCCAATTTGTAGAGGTGGCAATCATTGTGCACAGGAAAAAAAACCATATGCCAAGAGCAATGGAATATAAATTAGATTTCCATTATTTAGACAAAATTTCTTACGATGTAGCCAGAGGGAAAGATAGATAAGTAACTAACGACTAAACACAGTAAAAAGCCATTTTTAAGGGCGAAGAAACTGTATCACTGGTTGGCCTTGCTGAATTTTCTTCGTGTATATTCCTTAGACAGAGAAAATGTTTTCCGCAAAACTGATTGTTTCATCACTGAAGAAACGTTTAGACAATGTTTTTGCCACAAAGTTTTAAGGACGGCCGTGGATTAAATTTTGGTTTTCCATTAGAAACTGATGACATGAATAAATGCTGAGATCACTATCATAGTTTGACAAAGAGACACAGTTTTCTCAAATAGGGAAAAACTGTTATAGGTTGGACTTAACAAAAATATTCTGAAATTTTATGAGAAAAGAAAAGTTTGTCGTTTTCTAAGTTTATATTTTTTTTGAGAATGTATATTTGTTAAAAGAAAATTTCTTATCAAACCACTGAAAAATCAATAAACTCCCCTATACCTTTTTAAAACCGTTCGTATCCAGCACGGGAAGGAAAGAGTGAAAAAAGAGATAAGAATTATTAGCTTTCAAACAGAACATCGGTGTGAAAGTCAATGAACAGGAATGGCATAATCTAGGTTTAATTTTATCTTTCATTATCAAGATGACATAATCAATATATGGCTTATCCTTTTAAGACCCTTTAAGTACTTATCGGTGAACATAATCCTCCTCTTCAACTAACCACAGGGATTAAAAATCACTCTGTAACCTCAGTTTTCGCGTCGAGATGAAATTGAACTCGTACATCATGGACAAAAAGAGGCAAACTCCCAAACTGAAACCCACTCATTTTCGTTTTTCGTTTATTTACTACATTGTAATAGATGGTTGTTGCAACACTTTAGATTTATGTTTTCTGAAAATGTATTTTTTTCTTTCGTCGACTCTGTCTTTCTGTTTCTCTTAAAAGTTATTGTCGATCTTTGGCCTGTCATTGTGGTTAAAGAAATAGCAAATACTGCCTGCTCACCCAGTATTGAAGCAAAAACTTCAAAAACATTGTAGAGGAACTAATCATCGAGAATACGTTTGCCGTTGGTCATTTAGAGTTTTGAAAAACCTTTTAAAGATAAGGAAATACCTCAGATTGATTTTCCCTCAGTTCATCACATTACCATATGCTTTTCAAAACGTTCCATAAATTTTGTTCATCTTTACAATGACAATGACGCACGTAAAATTCGCAGATATACTGAAAGCTTCGCGAAAAAACATTTGTTATTTCTTTGCGTGGGAGGGAATTTTTTTCCGAAATATGTGTATACGATTTTAGAGTCCCTGATATTTTCGGTCTCATCTCAACAACAGGTACAAAATTTTTCTTTTTGCAAGAAAAGTGATTTTATAAAATGTTGCTGTTAAGCATTTTCACAACAAAAAAATTTGCACTACGTTCCCGGAACAATAAAAAATTTAAGCCTTTTTCAAACAGTCTTGGACAACTTCCTCCTCAAAAAACTACAGCCAAAATTCCCTTTCGTCTTGAAAACCAGAAGACGACTTAGTTCCATTATTTAAATCAAATTCCATTCTCTGTGACCTGTTCTACGTGTGAGTCGACCATAACTTCATATTTGTTTCTTGTAGACCAACAGAAACATGACCTCGAAGACACTTCTCCCTCAAGCTTTCATCCTATTAGTCCTGGTCACGAGTCACGTGTGGGCTGCAAAGTATTATGGGACGCACAAAGAGGTGTGCAAACCGTGGTCGTTCAACGTAGACGTAAGAGTCGAAGGCTGCCAAACTAGGACAGTTCTTCTGAACCAATGTGCAGGAACCTGTTTCACGGAGCATTCATTTTCCGGCAAAAGCTGTAAATGTTGCAAACCTGTAAAGAAAAGCGCTGTAAAAGTTCCACTACTCTGCAAGGACAACCAGTCTGAAAGTCCTTACCGATATAATCATTCAATGGAACAACATGAAGAGTGCAGTTGTTTGCAATGTTAAGAGCATTAAATGATAGGAGAGATTAACAATACACGTTCTGCCTTGGAACCTGTTTACTGCGTTTATGAAAAATTATTGCTAACTGCTTAACCCTATACCACCACTACTACTACTGATAATAATAATAATAATAATAATAATAATAATAATAATAACAATAGTAATAGAGCATTTTTGACAAGCGTCGTAATTCCAAACCGAGAGAATCACAACGGCCAATCAGAATAAAGGAGAATATCTTTAAGAGCCAATGAGAACTCACAATAAAAACAAGTACACCGCCTAAAGCGCGGGAAAGCGCGGGCGACCAAGTCGCGATTAGTTTTGTATCTGAGCGCGGGCGACCAAGTCGCGAGTTGAAAATTTCTTGAATAATAATAATAATAATAATAATAATAATAATAATAATAAGAGGAATTTAGCAGTGGACAAAGTGGCTCCTTTTGCCCACTGTTTCCAGGTCAAATTGAAATTTTGAAAGTTGGATTTTGTTTGTTGTTACTTGTTTTTCTCTCAGTTGTAACCAATTGGTGATTTCTCCCCGCGATGTCAATACATTGCCACGCAATGAAGTGACGAGAGTAAAGAAAACTACTATCTATAATCTACGATAAACTTTGATCTGAGACAAGATTTTCAGCAAGTGTCTTTGATGACTGTCCAAGGAACTTCTTTTGGGATCCTGGAAGTTTACGAGTTGAGCAAACCAAGACCTACAATTCTAGGAGAGAAAAAAAACAAAGATAAAGCACAACAAGAGTAATTCAAAACAAAATCAAATAACAAAAATTATTTTTTCTCAGAGGGCTTGGTAACGAATCCTGCAATCTGATTGGTTCTTTGCGCGGTCCGCATTTTCCGATCTCTGCCCACGGGCAACGATAACGCTTTTGTGAGTCGTCGAGTACATCCCTTACCTTCGCTGCCATTTTTCATAACTATATCTCGTTTTTCCGGCTGGGCAGTATTTTTAAGCAAAGACATCGGTCACCACCTCAAGCCGATAAATAACTTATTAATCCTCTGTTTTCTCTCTCTCAAATCACTTTGGTTGACAGAAAAATATTGGCTATGAAATGAATTTGTGTACGCAAAAGAGTCATTAAATTGGTTGACAAGCGGCCTAAAACCCGTCTGTAATTAATTCTAATCCTTCACAAAAAGTACCTGGAAAGTTAAAACGTGAGGTATTTTATTAAAGTTGAATTAATCGATGGAACTTTCATTCATTTAATATCTGGATTCTCTCAAACAATTTGTTCGTAGCGAAAGGGCGAGCGAAGTAAGTTTTCAGTTCTACAACAAATGTACGCTTTCGGTGAGTCTTCCCAAGTCCGTTCAGTTTGGATATTTGTACCGTAAATTGCACAACAGAAACTGAAGGAATTGAATGAGAAAAAGCTACATTAAATCCCCTTGTGTCTCGTTAAAGCGTCTTATTCGAATTTAGTTTTTGTGGAGGAAAGACCGGATTTACACACGCCATTGCAGTAAACAAACGAGCGAACTCTCACAACTTCAAAATAAAAAAAATGAATTTACTTACAATTCCTTTCCTTGCCATTCACTTACTAAACAGAGGTAAATCTTCATACATTAATTAATCGTCGATGAGAGTGAATAATACTTTCCGTAAGATCGTTGACAGCTTTTGAAGAAATCATTGTCGTGACAGTCCTTACCAAACTAGTTCGCTGTTTTTTTCAAAAGTATACTAGTGTTAATCTCTCTTACGCCCTCTCTTATTGACAGGTGTCAGATTGTGACAGATACTTATAAAAATAATGTTCCAAAGTTTGATGGAAGCCTTCTAAATCACCTTTATCGTTACGCAAATAAAAATGTTTCGGTGAAGCTTCTCTCTTCAATCTGCATCACCTCTATTTCAACTACCATTTACTAGCTCAAAAATTGTTCAGTTTATGGAAGATCTTACTGCAATTACAGCCCTACTTCTGAATTCTGGTGGTCGTAGCGAAGTTTTCAGTTCTACAACAAATATACGCTTTCGGTGAGTATTCCCAAGTCCGTTCAATTTATACAATTGTACTATAAATTGTACAGCAGAAAATGAAGGAATTGAATGAGAAAAAGCTGCTTAAACCCCCTTGTGTCTCGTTAAAGCGTCTCATTCGAATTTAGTTTTTGAGGAGGAAAGACCAGATTTACACACGCCACTGCAGAAAACAAACGAGCAAACTTTCACAACTTCAAAATAAAAAAAATGAATTCACTTACGTACAATAACTTTCATCCCCATTTCCTTAATGAACGGAGGCAAATCTTCGTACATTTGCATAACCTCTATTTTAACTACCATTTACTCGCTCAAAAATTGTTCTGCTAAAGGAAGATCCTGCCGTAATTACAGCCCTAAATCATCCAGTTTCTTTCGGAAATAATTTCGTTAAGTTAAAAAAATAATAATAATAAAAATGTCATTCACCAGCCTAGGTCAGTTTGTCCTAATTTAAATGTGCAACTTATAACTCAAAAGTTGCAGAAAATTAGAATTTATGCCGTAGGTTATAAATTTAAAGAAATCATCCAAAACCTGCTGCCTGAATGAATTCGAATTTATTTCCTCCACACTGGCTGTATTCAGTGCAATATTTGAATCTCACGTGTCACTCAGATTTAGCGTTCATGTGCTCAAAAACTGGGTTATATTGAATGTCAAACAACCGCAGCCGGTCTCTGCGCCTGGTTCTGAAAACATGTAGTTGTGATTAATTTTATTGCAGCGACTATCGTGCAATTTAAACTAGTTAATAAACTATCCAAATGACTCTGGCATCCTATAACTTTCTCTCAGTCGCTTAATGCTTGTTCCAGTTATGATGGAGACAAAACGCTGGATGAGGTGATTCCCACACAATACTGAAAACTGATAAAGCAAAGTTCGCTGCGTATGATGGGAAGAGACGCACGTCGTCCCATCACTCCTTGCGCAACTTTAACACAAGGCCTCTTCAGTGCAATGATAAGGGAAAAGGGATGCGTCCAAAAGTTACACAGTTCGACTATCGAGTGTTTTCCGACGCTGTTAAGTTTGGTTTTCGATGGTTAGAATTTTTTCAAAGAAATTTGCAGAGTCGGTAATCTTTTGGTCCCAAATAAATTTTTGTTCTGCGACCTAAAATAGAAAAAAAAAAGATGTAAAGATTGCTTGATTATAAATTGACCCAGGATAATTGAAGAGTAAACATTTATATTCCACAGTAAAATGTTCTTAATAAATAAACTGCAATGTCGTATATATATTGTCTCGGATTCAATAGTCTAGATTCTTTAAATTTTCACCGTTCCTCAATGCCATTTTCAAGGCTTTCTTTTTGATAAATCACCAAGAATTATATTAACCTTTTTAGAGATAGACTATTTCTGCAATACACTGTGATACACCATAATCTCAACCGTCAGCTTCCGCAAAACAAATATATTCTTGGCCGATCATTCAACGCACAACCGCAAAGTACCATTTACGTCGTCAAAAACGAAGAGATTCTCTTCGCATAAACACCGCCCGAGAAATAGCAAATCCCCGAGAATAAACATGTCTGTGAAATTACGCAGGCAATTTCGTCGCATTTCCAACAGCACCCGTTGTGTAAGTTACGTTCAGTGGACAATTACATCACAGATTTGGCCCGTAAATAAAATATTACCAGCAGTTTCGCTACACACCGCTGAGGTCACAGAATTCAATAAGAGTCTAAAGCCTTTTCTGCGGAAAATTCAAGTTTCTTGAGGATTTTTTTTTCTCGTGAAATAGTCGCAGTTTTTTCTGCCGACAAAACAATTAAAAGGTAGGTAAAATTTGTTATATTCTGCAGAAATTACATAGGTTTGTATCTGTACGGAATGGATAACAAGTATCTCATGACCGCGAGAAGATTTTTCCGCCAGTTTAAAAACATTTGTCCTTAAATGTACTATGAATTGATTTCCCTTAATTAATCCATATTTGGTGAAAATATGGTGAAATTTTATTTTTTTAACTCAAAATTTTAACCCGAACTTCTTTATGTTAGCAGTAAAGATGTTTAAGGTCTTCATACGCTGGTGGCAGGATTGTTTACCAAATTGGCGGATCAAAACATTATCAAGATAAATGATTCAGGCAGGACCGTGGCATAATCAAGGCCAGCGACTCGAGTGAAAACAAAAACTTAAGCCAAGTTTTTCAAATGAAAGATTTTTTAATATCATGAATTTGTGTTTTCACCTTAATACTTCACGAAAACGTCAGGCTGTCTCAGCGAGTGTTTTAATTTATCCGAGAAGCTTGTAGACTTCTACTTCTTAGGTGCTAAATGGGGGTCCAAACTGTCACAATCTATATTCCAATATAAGCCAGGAATATTTCAGTTAGTTTTTTTACTTTGGTGGCAAAAATGTTTTACCTAGAATAGTATGAAGGCTTTCATTATCTGAGCGTAAATTTAACTTGCAAACATGGATATGTATTTGGAAAAAAAACTGCGCAATATTATACCAAATTTGAACTGCCACCATCCAACTTTCTAACCTCTCGCGAAAATGGCAAAGTTACAGTATTTAAACTGATTTTTTAAGCCAAACTCAGTATCTGTGAAGAGCAAAGATCATTTCCAAAGTAGTAACGAATTGGTCGAACGAACGAGGTTGTTGGGGCGTGTCATCTATGTCAACAAACATATCCATATTAAAACTTACGTACCCGAAATAACTTAGGATAAGAGAACTCATTCCGTTTCCCGCTTATTTGAGAAAGCTGTTTGTGCTTAACCTACAACAAAACATTTGATTCTCTTGGATGCATTTCTAACTCCATTTCGATTCCACGTCGCGGAGACCCTTAAATTCATCAAGGGAACACACTTCTATTCTCTCGGGAACTCAGCCCGTTTCCCGCTTATTTCAGAAAGCTGTGTTCTTCACCGTTAACAAAACATTTAATTCTCGTGGATTTATTACCTAACTCCTTCCCGATTCCACAAAGCTTTACGGGAAACCTCAATAAACTTCAGTCAGTTGGATAGAAACAGTTGAAATCAAGAGAGTGATCATATTTTTTTAAGTTTTTAAATGTGCATAATATGTAGACGGTCCTCAACGAGGAAAAGGAGACTTTTTATCTCTATACAATTTCAGTGTGCTGACTATTTATTTCACTTTAAAACCGACACAGAAAAGACGAGATAAAGGCTTTTGCTTCTATTAAATCGTTGTATCAATGATTCATCTCTGGCATATATCATTTGATATCTACCGTTGTCCCTTTAATCTTAAACCAGCAGATTTAATTTTTTCCAAATCCCACTCTGTTTCCGTTTATTTCATTCAAACGTTGTTTCAATGTAGAAATGCTATCCAATCATGCGCTATATTCAGATGTTCTCTGACTAACACGTCCAGGTTTAAAAAATTAGCGATCCAAGGGGAACGAGAATTGATAAACAAGGACATTCAAGGTGAAAATCTTTAATAGTAATAATAATAGCACTTTATTTATATAGTGCTTTTTCTATGGCTATACAATATGCCAAAGAGAGAAACAAATATTTCAAATAAACAGAAACTGCTAGAAAATGCCAACTGGCAGAAAGCATACCAGTTGGCTATTTACACAACGAAGCCGATAGGTAAAACTCGGGGTGCTCAGACTTGAACCTGGGATCACCAGATTACAAGTCCAGCGCCCTTTCCACTCGACCATGCCGCCTCCTATGATATAACCAATGTTTTATTTCATTTTTTTCTTTACAGGGATGCGTTTGAGTCTCCCGTTCCTTGTGTGCGCTATCGTCGCCTCTTTGCATTACAGCACAGAGGCTGAGCGATTCTCCAACTCCAGATACCTTCTGGGAAGAGCTCTTCTTAGAAGAGCGCGGGAGATCAATGAAACGAGAAGCAATGGTGACGAGTTAGAGGATGAGGTGTCGGAGGAAGAAAGGGAAAGAATTCTGCAAACAGAAGCTGCGGAAGACATATTCGTTGGCTCCGGAAATCACGTGTATGAGAGCCAGGGGAAATCGGAGACTTCCGGCTCTAGGCGTGATGAAACTTCCGGCGATGAAGGCAAACAGGTCGAGGAATCGGGAAATGATGAAGATGGTCCCAATTCCGGTGACAGCGGTGAGGGTGATAAGAGCGATGATGATGAAAGTGATGACGACGACGATGAGGAGAAAAGTGAAGATGATGATGATGACGATGGTACAGAGACAAAAAAAGAACAAGAAAGTTCAGACGATGAGGTTACCAGCGGCTCAGGACTGATTGAAAATGAGAACGCTGCAAGGCGTAGCGAGGACGTTTCCGGTTCAGGCTCCGGAAGTGCGCAACAAGATGATAACTCGGACCAATCGGGGTCGGCAGGAAGTGGCGTTGAGGCGTTGACACCCGCATCAGCATCAGGAGATGAGGCTAGCGGAGTTGCAGTACAGAGCAGTGAGAACAACGTGGAGGAAACTGCCTCAAGAAAATCAGAAATTGCTACAGTTTCTGGAGAAAGTGAGGACGAAGACGATGATAGCGGAAGTGCTGAAGTCATAAAAAAGGGGATCGAGAGCTTGAGCCGACTCTTAACGCCAGTGGCCAGCGGTTATGAATTTGAGCTGTACAGCGGTAGTGCAGCAAAACATGACAAGGAGCAGGAAAGCCAAGCCGAAGGTGAAAGCGAAAAAGGAGAGAGCTCAGATGCAGAAGAAGTCCATGTCAAGCAGTGTAAGAGGGTGTGTGAGGACCCCATGACATACGAGCAGTGCGCAGTTCCTCGATGCGACTATAAAATGGGAACCATCAAGGATTTGTGCATCTATTTATGTAAGCACCAGACCCCTGTGTGTAGACAAGAATGTGAGTAAGGTATACCTTAACAAACCTCATTTTGCAATGTGAATTATTCATAAGGTTTTGTCTCGGTTTCATTACGAGGCTCTAAGTGGAAGCCTGTGGAATTTGGCCTTTCTAGGCCCTAGGCCCTGAAGTAATTTGTTTGTTAAATTCGCTATTGAGGGCCTGGGGCCTGAGATGGGGTAAATCTAATGTAATGATAGTGTTATATCGCTGGCTTATAGCCTTTTCATTCTTACTGTTACGAAATTTATCTTCTGACTTTATTAATTCCCACAGACGGATCTCCTAAACTTGCATGTCAAACGTATGCCATTAAGCCGTAGCATTAGCTACAAGATACAACAAAAATAATAACGGAATTGGCACGGAAGTGTATTTTGAGGGAGTTAAACAAGCAAGATATTGCCTTTTTATCTCCTTTTCAAACACGTCAGACAATTTTCATTAACACAAGCAAACAATTTACAGCAGAACTGCAATTTAAGTGTTCAATATAGACTGCCAAATGGAGCCTTACACTGAATAACGAACGTTAAACTTTTGAGTAAAACACGCTTCGAAGTTTGAGGCCGTGATATCTCCGGAGAAGTTCACCATCTTGATAGGTGTAAGCACCAAAGTTTTCCTACAACTTGTTATCAACGGCTCATTTTGCAGCTCACAAAATGAGTGAATTTGGTCGTCTTTTTAAATCAGACGTAAAGGCAAACGAAAAACCCTTGTTACTTAAACAAAACATAATAATAACGGTACTATTCGACAACGCTTGCTCACAAAATAATGAGAGGTAGAAAAATTATTAGTTCTTGAGGCTATGTGCTTAAAATAAAGATAAAAATTAAATATAATCGGTATCAAAACCGAGCTTTGGGTCATCAAACCCACGATCGTTCAGTTTTAAAGGGGTTGCATTCGACAACCACCTGTTAATGTTTATCGGGTGGTCTAAAATATATAAAACCGTCACCCATGGTGGCTCTCTGTAGTTATTGAACGACCTGGGTACAAAACTTTGAAATGATTTGTTGTTTTCGTATGCGAAATATGTAAAAGTAACGCAGTCAAAAACATTGAGGTTTTTTACACCTAGATTTCTTACTTTTAAAGACTAAGGAGTTATCGTTATAATGACTTAAAGACCCTTTGACGGGAATACGTAAATGGTGAGAATACGTAAATGGCGGGAATACGTAAATGGCGGGAAAAGACAAACGGCGACAAGCGAACTAATTCTTGGTCCCACATTCCTCTTGTCATTGAAAGAACGAGTCAATCTGGTGACAAGAATGACCCAATAACGGTTAGGGTCCAGGTCTCTTCGATAAATTCCTAGACTTAATTAGAAATATAACATAAATTAGAATACACTACAAGAGGTTTTAGAAATACTCTTGGAAATAAAGTTGTTCAGATTAAGATGCAAGCTGTCATTGTGCCATTTAGGGTTCTTTATTTTCCACTAAGAAAAAATAACGGTATTCACTTTAAAAACATTTTTAAAAAATTCCCCCCCCCCCCCATTTCACAAGTGTTTGGACGCAAGCCAACGGAAGTGAGCCCAGTTCATCAGATCGAGGCTTGCGGAAATTTTTTTCTGCAGGCGTAAAATGGATGAAATAAGCTTAAAAAGTCGAGAATTGACTTTTACGGTATGGCTTCTTGTGTCTCCTAATTAGTTCTATCCAGAAAAGCTACTTAGTTATGCGAATATAAGTAAGAACAATGCTCACGAAAGAAGAACTTGTTGCTTTACAGTTTTTCGCGTTTGAGATTTATCAGTCAGCCTCAAACTTGAAAACTAAATCAAGCCATTAATCTCAAGTCTGCAAATGGGCCATGGAAAATGGGAACATTTTTAGTAAGATCGAAGTTATAAATAGCTTTCAGGGCTGTAGCTATATTAAGAAACTGTAATAAATCTCTATGTCAAATAAAATATGTCATTCAAATATTAATCGGTGTGCATATTACTGGTTAGCTCATGATTTTTAAAACAAACAACTAAGAGAAGGAAGAAGAAGAGAGGCAGTTTGTTTAGTCACAAGAAAGCGCTAGGTTGCTCAGCAAGATTCAAAATGTTGGCGTCCGCTGTCGGCATTTTTTAATAAATCTGAAAACCGTTCTGGAATAAAATAGGTTAGGTCACACTTTGGAGTCTCAAAAAGTGGTCAGTGTCACATGGTTTCTCTGGCACACTTCTTATTCCCTTCTGAAAATGGTGACTAATCTCGTTGAGCATTATCGGACGTGAGGCAGGAAAACCGGGTCTAGGGCATGGGGTCGAGGGTTACTTTTCTGGTACAGTTCCTGGAATAATTATATTGAAGCGAAAAATGGCTTTCAGTTTTGAAATTTCTAAGCTTTTCAAGTTGTTTTCTAAGAGACTTAATTTTAAAAAATTAGAGAAAGGTCAATCTAAACGAGTCTAGTGAAGAATTTTTCCTGAAAGTTTCTCAGTGTCCTAGCCCCGACCTGAAATCAAAAGCTGGCTACCTCAGAGGCAATCCGCAGCTCATTTAAGGATTTGTCCCAATATGTTCAATATTAAAGCTACAGAAATAGTTTTCCTGACGAAAAATGTTCCGGGTTAGATGTAAATTTATCTGTTGCGTGAAAAAAAGAATGAAATCAAATAAAAACAACAGCAACAACAACAACAAGAAAACAAACAAATAAAACTTCCACGTTTCTATGTTTAAATTTGGGTATGACGTTTAATAAATTTATATTCCTTCAAATAGCTTTCAGTGTAACATTAACAAGATTTGTGCAGGATCTATTTATTCAACACAAGAACCTCTCAATGTAACGCAAGGACCAAAAAAGATAGGTTTTCATACATCAGGAGAAACTTATCAACTTACATTAAATTCCGCTCTAGGTTAGTCTTAGTTTTATTTATCATATAATGTCCTCTATCTTAAATCGTCCGAAATTTATGTTACACATGGAAAAATTCTTTAGAAAACTCATTACCGTTTGAAACTAGTCTCTCATTGATCACTGGTTCTTGAATGCTCCGCAGACGATCAACGCTCAAATACTTTTCACCGTTTCCTCTTGACATTAAAGATTTTGAAACTGGGTTAAAAGGTTTCACAACCAATTCCTTTGGAATTGCGTTCACTGTGAAAGTTTTCCAACGTGACCCTGTTGACTCAGCGGGCTCTTTCATCATTCCATATATGCTTCCTTGAGCTGACATGACATTCATTGTAGATACCTCAAACTCTGTATCGCGTACTCCTGTAGCTGTAGTTGATGCTTTACTATGGATGATAGTATCTGTCGTTGAAACTGGCATAACTGTAGCCGTTGATTTTATAACTGAAGGAGAAAGAGGACCATTTTGACCTAGATGGGGAGAGCAAAAATCATAAATACTCAATGTTTGATATAATTTGTTACAGTATTGCGCAAAGGTGGTGAAAACGAAATGCGCGAATTTCGTTCATTTCCGAGAAGTTACACCACGGTAAAAATGCACTATTTCTTCCAGTTCTCGTGACAGAGCGAAGTTTTTAGTTTGCTTTGTAAAGTGTTTATTCATTGACCGGTGATCGAAAGTTCGCTCAAGAGAGTCAAAAGCATTCTTCGAGTGATATTATGATAATGTCTTTAAAATCCAAACTGGATCTACAACATTGGCGAAGGACAACCACTCACTTCCAACAGTTTCAGGTGGCGAAGTTTCTCGGGAAGATACGATCCCAGCATTGAATGCCTCGTTTTTCATCGGTACCAAAGAGTAAAAAGGTTTCAAATTTTCTTCACGATGTCCCAAACTTTGAGCCCACGACACAATGGGGCTTGATGGGCTTTGCGGAAATTGTCCCGGAAATCCAAGGCCTTGAGCATTCGATAGACCCACCACTGAACCTTGTTGCATTTGTGCAAACTGATAAGCATTGTAAAATGGTGCGTACAGAGTAAAGGGCATGTGAAGTGGAGTTTGTAAAGGGACAAATGGCATTGGTGTATACAGCGTAGGATTCAAAGAGCTACTGACTGAGGAAGAAGCAGGTAGTTGATTCAGCTCTGTTTTTGTTGAGGATGGGATGTGACGCTTGTTGTCTGACTTCTTGGAGGAATGCTGCTGTCTTTTGACATGAACTAACAGATCTAAGAATTAAAGAAGATCAGGAAAAAAATTGGTAGCTGTATTATAGAAGAAGATGAAGTTAAAATTGAAGATAAGGGTTTATTTTTGTTTGCTTGTGTCACACTAGAATTTTCCTCATTCCCCCCTTACTAAACTCTCTATAGTGTTTTAATGTACCTCCCTTAAAACTCTGTTAGCAACGACTGATCCCCAATCCGCTCCGCCTGAAATCTAAATGATCCCCCAAAATCCTCCCCCCTCAAAGGCGATAAATAATGTTCTGGTCCTTTACTAAACATTTTTTCTATAGAAGCAAGATGGAATTAAAGATGAGAGAAGAGGGACTTACCTTGTCTTCCCTTCCGAAAATAAGGATGTTTAAATTCGCATTTTGAATACAGCGAAAACGGAGATGATGTCGCCCGTTTTCCATATTCTGTGACTTTTCGGAACCCGTACAAGTTCAATTGACGGACAAAACTCGCAAAGTGTTTTGTCTTGAAAAGTCCATTGGATTTATTGTTTAGAACCTCAGAAATGAATCTCTGAGTGTTCGGAATAACAAGGCATGTTCCTTGGGCATTCCAGTGAATTTCGTCTCGTTTAGGATTATTAACAATCCACCATAGTTTCTCTGGAAAAGCCAGTAAGGTATAATCCGATTGCCTGTCTGGTATTAAATAAGAAGAAACTCTCGCCATTGAAAAATTTTTCAGTGAAAAGAATCTTAGCTGCACGTTTCTAATCCGTTGTTTTCGTGTTTCCATGGAATTCTTAGGATTCTAACATGACGTATGAATGGCTCCGCAAAAGTAGCTGTGATTGGATAAAACTGCGCGCGTGCGTAGTGATCAATGCTGATGCGTTCGAAAAAAAAACATTTTTTTAAAATGAATGAACTAGATCAACTTTTGAATGAATCGATTTCGCTATTGATTCCGGGCTCTTCGTCTGTTGCTTTAGGAAAACTTTCCATATGCGAAAAATGATCATTTTTGTTATGTACGTCGAAGAAAACCGATCAGAAAAATAAAGTAAAGATAATCGAGGTATTTGAAAGTCTTATCACTTATGCACTTAAATGGCTTCCAATCTTTGAAATGTGTCGGTCAGTAGGAAAAAATCTCAGTATGACTGAAATAAATACTTTATACCATGGAAAGTACTCAAAAAATTTTTGTTCACTCGTTACGACACATCAAGAAGTCACTCACCTTTTTTTGATGGAACATGTTTTGTTCCTTCATAACAGCTTTAGATGTAACCTTAAACCCCAAAGCACGAGTAGAATAATCACCTTCAGTTTCCCGCCAATTTCACTCTTGAGCTGTGCAAGGCTTTGTGGGTATCATCAGCTTGTGTGCGCTGCTTGCCGGGAAATCGTCGTATCCGCCATCATGCCACCGAAGAAAAAAGCAGCAAACGAACCATCGAAGAAAACCGATCAGAAAAAGAAAGAAAAGATAATCGAGGTATTTGAAAGTCTTATCATATTCTCGGATAATACAGCTCGTCTTCTGTCAACTTATATTTGTGATCTTTGTCCATTATAGGATAAAACTTTTGGCCTTAAGAACAAGAAAGGCAAGAAACAGCAGACCTTCGTAAAACATGTGACTCAACAGGTTTGCGGATTTATTTATTAATTTTCATGTTTTCCGGTTCTCTAATTGTCTAATGGTAACGCTTTATCTTTTTTTCATAAGGTGAAATTTGGTGGAAATCCCAGTGCGAGGAAGGTATGTGTTACACACCCAAAGAGAAGGCACTTATAATTTAAAATTAAACACATGTACTGTACGTATAATTTTATTTTGTGCTTATCCGAGTTTTTATGGCTAGTTTCTGAAAGTCTTTACTTTGGAAAGCAATGAATACTGTATGAACAATATCACTCAGCTATGATGATATTTGTTTACATCAGTGCGACATTATTAAAAATATTGTAAACTATTAAATAAGCTCACTGTGATTCATAATACGCAGACCTGATAGAACAGTTTTACTATCAAAAGAGAATTTAAAATTAAAAAAGTTGAAATTTTTATGCAAATTTTTCTTGATTTTTCTTGACTTTTTAACATTTAAGTTGAAGTTGCTATAATGTTACAAAGTAACAAAACAGGATTGTTTCATTTCAACTTCCTTTATTGGATCTCTTAATTAGGACCTGTGCCATGATTGGTCAAATTAGAAAGCCATATTTCACTGTACTGTACAGTTCACTAAATTCAAAAGTTTGTTTGAATGAAATCTTCCCCCTTCTGTTTGAAGCCACAGATATAGGAAGTATCATACTAACCCTGATTTCTCAGTCTGTACTGTGAGTTACAGAACCTTGTATGGCTGGCATTCATTATGCTTAGGCCAGAAATCCACGTTGGCAATGCTCAGTCTGTAATTTACTGAACAGACCTTTAACTCACTTAGTTAATGGTATTTAAGCTCATGTGATTAAGTGTTAGGAAGCTTTCATGTTCACCTGCAAAGACATCCTCTCTTTGATTAATGGCCAAAAAGTGCCCAGTTTTGTCATATTTTTCAACTTTTTAGATTGGGTGGATTATTTGCATGTGAAAATTGATGATTATTGATAAGGGTGATTTAGTATTAGCAACTGATCTGATAACGTAAATTGGCCACTGAAAGAGTTTCAAAGGTGAAGTTTTTACAATTAGCCCTTCATCAGAGGAAATGAAGAAGGGATAAACTCAAAACGTTAGCTTTTAAACTCTTTATGGTGGCCAAATTACATTATCAACTCAGTTAATAATACCAAATTACCCTGTTATACTCTCTCACCAATGCAGTACCACAGTTTCTTTAGAAATGTACCTCCTTTATTGATTATTAATTTATTTATTTTCTTCCCGTTTAACTTTTTATTGTGAAGCTTGCCCAAGAGCAGGACAGCAAGGTATCTGTACATTTTTCTCTTGCAAGTCATAAAAACAGTATATAACACTTAGACATAGCACTTTTAGGCCAAAAATTTCACATGTTTGTACCTTTTTTTGGTTAAGCATTAATTTGTTTGGAGGCCTGGCACATTAACTCCGCCCACGCTCCTTTAAATCGTGACGATGGCGGTCTGCTTCCTGACGCCTATTTACACCTCGTCAGAAAAAAGGCCGCTAATTAGTGATCATATAAAAGGACCTCTTGTTGCAGCGTTTAGATCACCCCTGATGAAAGCACTAGACAGGAGTGTCGAAATGTTGGGTCTATGAATTGTAACTTCTTCAGTTACATTCTTTAAATCTGCAAACCAGTGTAGCTTCAAACTATGTCTGATTGTCCACCTGGTTGCCGTGTGAACTTTAATATATAATAAACATAAGTTTTGCATGTGAGGGGTGTTGAATGAGTCATGGAATCTCTTGTGAGTGCTGTTTGTAGGTATAACTTAGGAATGTCATTTCAGTTGCAGCAAAAAGGACCTCATTACAAAAATCTCTTTTTTAAAAATAGTAAGAACATTCACTCAAGGGACAGTGATGACTAGAAAAAGTTTCCTTAGAATGAGAGTTCCAAATGCATTGTTTTTTGGTGCAGACTACAGTTTATGTCCCATATATGGAGATTTCTAGAAAGAGAGGCTCATCTGTCAAGGACATCGTGCAACTTTGGCAATAACTTTTTTTTAAATTGTTATTTCAGAAAAAGATTTCAGAACAGAAAAAGAAGGAACAAGATGATTTAAATCAGCTTTTCAGGCCTGTTATTGGGCAAAAAGTGTCTGCAGGTAAGTTTAGCAAGATTTAGACATCAGAAAACATTATACTGTTACAAAAACTGTCACAGAAGGTAGTGATCAGAATATTTTGATTAGCTCAGAGTCAGAGAATGCATTAAAATGCATAATACAATGCTGAGAATGACCATTAAACCCATGACGATCTGTAAGTAAGGTGGTTTCTTAGATTTTATCATGGTACATCAACAGGTGCTGATCCCAAGTCAGTAGTGTGTGCATTTTACAAACAAGGCCAATGTTCCAAAGGTGACAAGTGTAAATTCTCTCATGATATCACCTTGGACAGAAAAGGGGAGAAGAGGAGTCTGTATGTCGATGCCAGAGATGTAGAGGAGGATGAGCTCAAAAATGGTGAGTAACTCAGCAGTAATCAGTTTCAAATGTGCTGGAACTGACAACTTTGTAGCCCGCAGCCATCTGTCCTTAAACCTAAGATACTGAATGATACTTTAAATAGTTGAAATTGATATCAGCTCTCAAATGATGATTTTTATTGAAAGCAGATTAGGATATGGATTGAGTGAAAATGAAAGTGATCGTTGCAGTTGTGAACAATATTTAAGCAGCAGTGAAAATAGGGCCTGAAAAAAGTTCAGACCTGTATGAGATTTGAACCCATGACCCCTGTGATACCAGTGCAGTGCTCTACCAACTGCGCTAATGAGCCCATTGGAAGCTGGTCTTAATGTTGGTTCCAAATTATGTTTATTCACTTATTTGTCCACAGTTTTCCACATATGATTTTAACATATTCACAGTCATTGATATGGATTAAGTTGAGCAGAAGAGAGTTCACTTTTGTTTAAGGAAAGTCTAAACCAAGTTTGTGTTAATCCTGGGCTATGGTTAACTGTTCTTGACCGAGAGGCCCTAGGGTATTAATTTTTTTGTTCTCAAGGAGTTTTTCGGTTTGAAATAGCTCTTATAGACTTTGGCATGATCATTCCTTTTTTCAGATACCATGGACAAGTGGGATCAAAGCAAATTGGAGGAAGTTATTGAGAAAAAGCATGGCGAAAAGGAGAAGTCAATGCCCAAAACAGAAATTGTGAGTTAAAATTTTTATTGGTTATCAATATTACATTTGTTTAAAATATACTTGTGGCTGGAGAAGGAGCATGGCCAATTGATAGGTTAGCAGCTTGAGTTTCAAGTCCTGCTCTGACTGTAGACTGGCTGAATCTGTTTTTCTCTGTGCCTCACCCACAGTTGTAATTTAATTGCTAACAGGTATGAGTCAAGTACACTGGAGTTTAAATCATGTTTTCAGGACTGCCAATCTGGAATAGTTTAGTTTCTTTCTGTTATGAAGAGAGTAATTAATTGTTACCTGAATCTGTCTGCCTTCACAATAATTTTGCAAACTTGTATAGATGTTTCTTTGAAACAATGCATTTAGTATTAATAGTTACTGATTTCAGTTGATAATTTTTTTATATATCTATAGACATCTTTTTCTTTTATGTAACTTTTTGTAAACTAAATTCTGTTTGATCCTTCTGTTATTATTTTAATCAAACATCCATCTGCAAGTTGTGAAAACTCATGTTGTAAGTGGTAAAATTTTCAGTGATGTCGTGGATTTTTGTAATACATTCCCATTTTTTCTCTAATTTTTTGTTCAGGTCTGTAAATATTTTCTGGAAGCTGTTGAGAAAGGACTCTATGGTTGGTTCTGGAGTTGTCCAAATGGACCCAAATGTATATATAGACATGCACTGCCACCAGGCTTTGTGTTGAAAAAGAAACAGGAAAAGGAGATAAAAGACGAAATATCATTTGAGGAGTTCATAGAAACAGAGGTGAGCTGTATTTCTTGATTTCATTGTAATTTTCAGAGAACAATCTCTGGAGTGGTATGTTCACAATCTTTTGCAGCGTTCTCCCTTTCCTAAGCAGCACTGGTAAGATAAATTTTCAAATGGACAGAGCAACACTTTTACTTATTGAATTTCAAGAATTCTAAGTGATTTTAGGCAGTAATGAGAGGTCCTGCAGGAGGTAAATTTTACCTGTTACTGTCTGTAAAGAAGAACACTACCTGTGACATGTTTGATTTGAACATTTGAAGTCAATTTTCCATTTTTAATTGTTGTTATTGTTATTGTTTTTGGCCTTTAGAGAGCAAAACTTGGTGGAAATCTGACAAAGTTAACATTAGAAACATTCCTCGAATGGAAAAAGAGAAAGGTAGGTGATCCATGTTGAATTTTACTTAAAGCTTCAATTATAGTTTTAGTACATGTAATTACAGTGTGTGTATAAAGAATGGAAAAATCTTACTTGAATGTGACATTTCATTCCCTTTTTCCAGTTAAAAGAAAAGAAAGAGAAATTTGAAAAAGAGCAAGCAAAGAAAAAGGATGACTTTAAGTCTGGTAGAATTGTTGGAAAGGTAAGATGTGCAGATAACTTTTGGACGCACAATTGGCAGGTGATGTAGTGAGTGTCCACCCTTGCACTCCCAAGATCTCATTTGTAATTCTCATCGCTGTCCACCATAGGATTGGTATGATGTTAGTTTGAAAAATTTTGGGAATATGATCAACTAATAATCCCCCAACTGATATTTTTCTTAATTCTTGTCACTTGTGTGTGTCATATTGTACTGATATGTAATACTTATTGTATTGTATTGAATTACTAACTGTAATTCTCATCACTGTCTACCATACAATTCTCATGGTGCTACTTTGGAGAATTTGGAATTGGATCAACTAATAATCCCCTAACTGATATTTTTCCTTATTCTCATCACTTGTGTGCATCATATTGTACTGATATTGTAATGAGAAATTCTATCTTGGTCTGACTCATAGGAGTTAAAGGGTTCAGGAGTGATGACCTGTATTTTTGCTTCTGTAGGTGAGTGGTCGTGAAGTTTTCTTGTTCAAACCTGAGCTGGTGGAGGCTGATGCTGATGATGACGAGGCTACAGAAGATATGAGCATTTACAGACGAGCAGATGATGGGGTAAGTAGCCTTTTGTGATAAGTCATTTACATTGACGGAAGTAATGTTTGCAAAATAAACTTAAACTGAATTGAAAGGGGTAAATTTTTTTAAGAAACTGTGCTGTGGTTTCCGTTGGGAGTATTACCCGTTATCCTTTACATTCTAAAATCAGTATGTATATTCTCCATATTGCTCTTTATACATTTCCTAAGGTGCTGACAAGGAGAATTTGTTTACCAATCAAAAGCTTCTTTCGTTGGTGATCATTTCCTTTATTCTCATGACCTTAACGTGTGATTCAGGGGTGATATTGTAAGGAGAAATTCGATGCTAGACACTCTAAGGGTTTCAAGGGTTAATATGGTTTTGTCAATTGAGTTGTTAGTATGAATTGGCTACCGTAAGGAGATCCTCTTTAGAATCTCTGAACTTCTCTGGTTTCTCTTTTGTCAGGACGAAATTGGTGAGGGTGCACCAGCCAGAGAGATAACGTTAGAAGAAATGAGCAGTGCCGCAAAGGAAGTCGACGGCACTGGTACAGTAGATGTGTCAAGTAGCGCTGCTGAGAGATTAAAAACCAATCAAGCCACAAGCGAAACTCTCAACGAAAATTCCGCTCAACAGGTGACTGTAATTCTTCTTTGCTCTTTCATGGATCCAAAAGTAATTGGTCAATTTCAATATAGGCTTAATATGTCTGACGCCAATTCTCAAACGTCCAAGATTTTGCTGATATATAATGTTTTCAGGGCGCTCTTTAACCTCCAGTTCACCCCTATAATTCGCGAAAGAACTTTGCTCCTCTTTGAATACGCAGCTTGCCTTTGTTTTTTCTCTCTCTCTGTTTACACATTTTTGTTTTGTAAAATAAAAGTGTAAAAATACTTGCTGTTCCTCACCTGCCCCCGTCACAAGAGCTTCATCCCGAAAGTCGTTTTCCCCCATGTAGCGACTTGTACGAAGCTGGTGATGACTTTGCTCAGGTTGTGGAAACATTAGTGACTGCATCGGAAAACAGTCCTTTTCAGGACCACCCTCCCTCCCTTCCCCCCCCCCCCCTTCAGGAACCCAGACATTGTTTGTTTGATAGAAAGTAGATTTTTTTGTTTTTCATTTATTTACCCCTCAGACACCCGACACGAGTAACGCCGATGAAAATGGTCTCGACGAAGCTTGCGGCGGAGCAGACTCACCGGAAGGAGACGTGGACGCTGCCCTCGTTAATGGAGTACCTATTGAGGAGAGTTTGTTCGAGGAGGACGATATTGACGACCTAGAGCTTGAAGATCTCGAAGTTGTCGATTGACGACGTCATAAAACTCTTCAAACTTCGAAATCGCTGAGAACCATCACTGCTGGATCCGGAAATCCTATAGAATCTCCTTGAAGGCATTATCTGGCAGTGATTACATAATGGTCAACAGAGCCTGGCAGAAATAAATTGTCTCAATGAAACTTAGCAATTTGGGAATAGACATCTGTAACAGAATTCGAATCTAGTACTATTTCCCTTTGGAATGAAAAGGCCTGGGAGCTAATAGGACTTGTACCCAGGACTTCAGGTTTCAAAGATAAAGGTTTGGGAAGACTGCCATCTTGAAAAGGGGCCATCGGAATGACTGCGGCCAGCTACACTGAATCAGTTGATTTACATTCCATTACCCGGCCCTGTCTCGAAAATGCCTACTAGGACATTCTCAAATTTAATGAATCACATGTTAGCTAAATGACCAACATTCTTTTACACGAACGCGTTTGAAACGCGTTCAATTGCGAGGCGACTATGATAAATACTGTTATTTTTGTAGCCGAGAGGAGAAAAAAGGCGGTCGATGAAGATAATTTCATTAACTGCGTTCCTTCAGTGATACCGAAGGGAATTTTAAACGCGTCTCCCTCTTATGAAATTCTTGCAATAAATCATCTCTAAACAGAATTAGTGTTTTTTCTGTCTCTTTCTTAAATAGTTTGGAACAAACTCCTCATCGAATTTAGAGGTTGTTCACTGCAGTTCATGCGGATGTAATATAATAAAGGCAAACCTTGTTCAAAACATTTTTCTTCCTATAAACATCCGACGTTTTCCTGTAATTAGGACTTCAGGAGCGACTTACTAAAAGGGAGCGTTTACTTGGGGTGGAATATTTCGCAAAGTCAGCGGTAACGTCATGATAACTGTTCCTTCGCTTTTGTTGTTGCATCAGACTGGTACATGCCCGGGAAAGGAAGAATGGGTTGAAATCTTTTGCAGGTCTCGTAAGCTAAAGTTGACACTGATCGCCTACTTTTTTTATCGATTTTGTTAGTGTAGGGCCCTTTTGTAAAACATTATGCTCCTCAAGGAAAGGTTTCCTGAAAAAGGGTGCGAAAGCTCCCCTCCCCCCCCCCCCCAACCCACGCTGGAGGTTTTGTGCATCACTGACAGAAACTGTTCACTAAAACAGAGCGTTTATTTTAAACTGTTATTTACAATTTAAATTATATTCACTATAATTTTTTTTCTGAAGATTTGTTATTGTTGAAGTTGTATTTGTTCATGGTAGAGGGGGCGGGATAACTTCTTTTGATATTCTCAATGTCTCTTTGTCAATAAGCGTTTGGAAAATTCAGTGAAAGAGGAGATTTTGTGCCACCACCATCTCAACTTCGTACTAGGAGGGGCAAGAGAAGAGCCTTGGAACGAGATTTACGCGGATCAATATCAGTATCTGGGCAACTGCCCACCTACCCCTCCCCTAACCTAACATTAGCCTTAACTTGTTGTCAATTGACTGTTGTTGAGTTAGGGGAGGGGTAGGTGGGCAGTTGCCCAGATACTGATATTGATCCATTTACGCTATCTTATTCGGCCTTTAGTCTCAACCGAAAAACAATAATGGTCCTATCTTTGAAGGGCGCACTTTTTCTTATCCCAAGTGTGTCCTCTGAATTTAATATCACTATCAATAGCAACATTAACAGGTCGTCACCATGACAACTGGCATCTGCGAGTAAAGGTGGTCCTTTGTGTCTTCTGTGTTTTTATTAACATCGCTTGTGTCAGACTCGAGAGACATCAGCGCCTCTACATCATCACTGTCCTTGTTTTTACACGCTGCTCTATTCAAATGATAGGCAATCTGCCCATCCAGAACAACTTCTTTGGCGGATTGTCTACGCGCGGAAATCTTATCCTGTTCAGAATCAGAGTTTTGCGACTGGAAGGAAGTCCTTTCGATTGCATTGTTCTTTATATAAACACTTGACCTGGAGTCTGCTGTCTCTTTCTCTCGGTCCTGGTCATAGCTTTTCCTATAAATCAATGGAATTGTTAAAAAATTACACGGTGAACAAGTTTGGCTTTCTCTCGATGAGTTGGAACAGAAGTTGCTGCTGTTACTTCTCATACTCTCGTTGCGGCTTCTGTAAGAGCTATGACGGCCCTCGTTACGAAAACTGCTCTTTGGCGATACTCCAGGCGAATGGTGCGGTGACCGAGAGGAGCTGAGACTTATTTTACTTCCGGTAACTCCTCGGGACGAGTTCGGTAACGTCTCAAGTTGATCTCGTAGCTTACCGCTCAATTTTTCTACCGCTGACTTACAAATACCAAGACGGTTTATGATTTCCAGTGCGTCCATCTGGAAGTGTTTCGTTCCTATGGCGTAGAGATAAGGGTTTGTGAAGGAGTTGATTGGGTAAACGAAGATCAAGAAAAACTGCGCCGTTTTCAAATCTATCAAAGTTGTTCCATAAACAGCTACAAGACTGACAAGTGCAATTGGAAACCAGCATGCGAAGTTTGTAATCACAAGCATCGCCATTCTTCGGGCAACGCGACTCTCCACACGGTCCACGCACGCGCCAGGCACAGATCCTCCGAGACTGCAGTACATTCTACCGTAACAAAACAGCACGAAGAAAAACGCCATTCCATTCGTTGATAAAAGAAACGTAACGTAAACTTTTGACAGAGTGTTTTTCACATCAAATGGAAGACATATTGCCACCTGTTGATAACTACTCACCCCTACCAGCGGCAGGATTGCCATTGTCAAAGAAAACGTCCACCCCACCCCTATGAGTATAATAACCTGCTTCGTATTCAAATGTTTGTTAACCTTAAGAGGATGGACGATGGTGAAGTATCTCTCCACAGTGATGATCGTCAACACAAAGACAGAGAGCTCTGTGGAGAAAATCGATACAAATCCGGCGATTTTGCAACCAGTTCCGAACTGCCATCGCATAGCGAAGTTTTGGTATTCGCCCAAGGAATACATATCGGCGCTTATGATCATCAACAAAAACACAGCCATGCAGAGGTTTGCAAAAGCCAGGTTACACATCAGGATCCTGGTGATGGAGATTTTGCGTTTACTCAGCAACAGAACAAATAGTTTGAACGAGTTCCCGAAGAGAGCGAGGACCAGCACCACCCAGGAAGAAACGCGCAACGCGTTCGTCGCCAGTAAATCACCGCACGGGTTGAACGTGTCATTTTTTTGCTCTGAAACGCAAGTAAACGGTGCATCCGTCGACCCTGTCGGGAGAGTGTTAGTATTTTTGGTCCCATCGTAGCATGATTCAGTTGGAATTTCCGTGTTGTTGCGTTTTGGTCCCATGATACCACCAAAGGGATCTGTCGTGGTTGGACGTGCTGTAGTTGTCGTTCTATTAGCTGTCACATTACACGGCTTGACGGTAGGAGACGATAAAACACTCGATTTAGTGGCCATCACGTTACGCGAGTCACGTTTAGTCTTAATGAGACAGCAATGAAAGGCGTATTCCACACTTGCTGTGTCTAGGTTGTCAAAATGGACGATTGGTATTTCCCATAGCTTCCGTGCTCCTTTGATTGTGAGATACTTCAAGTACTCAAGCCCATCACCTGGCAGATATTTGATCCCAGTTTCTTGCAAATTTCTGCAAAATAATCAAAGAAACTTTTCACCGTGTTGTACAAATATTTAGTTACCCAAATTTTCTTAACTAGGCATAGACAAGAGCCCATTGCTGGCTTAGGGTGTATTATTGCCGTAAAAACATCTTTGACAAATTTTAAAAAAGGAAAACCTGCTATTTTTCTAATAAGCGATCAAATATTTTTGCCCGCGCGTGATTGATTTGAGTGCATCACGTGACCGAATATGTCCAGCTATAACAAGAGAATATTCAGTGATATACCTCGAGTGATATTCGCCCATTTAGAAATTTCACGTCTACTACAAGGAGTCCACGTTTAAAATTTGACGAGCGAGTGTTTTTTTGTTGTTACAGACGGGGAATTTTTTTGTTAATGAATTCGCACCAGAGAACAATGAAAAGTAAACGGAACGTTAATCGTGTTAGAGCCTGTTTACATGGAGGTGGGGAACCCCAGGTAGGTGACGTAACCCGCCTAGCCGCAGTAGAAAAATAAAACGCGTTTACATGCACTCTTAAAACTCCGGGGTGCTGGGGTGAGGTTTCTTAAGGTTGTTGTTGCGCTTGCAGGGAGTTTGAGCGTAGGCGTCCCAAGCTCACATCTTGAGAGAGACGAAAGATCAATTCTCGAACATGTATGTATTTATTCATGAAAGCGTCACGCGTTATGTTACGCGGTGTTAGGTTAGACTTAATACTTTATAAGAAATGGTTTGGGAAACGAAATGTGGTCGATTTACAACGCTAAATATTCCGAAATGTGAACATTTTACACTCCTTGTGTGTCTGTTGCGGTTTCTGGTGATTTCTGCCATGAGACGGCTTGGAAATGTACAAAGTTTTAAAACATACGTGTTCAGTTCTTGAGCTTTTTGCAATGAATGCGACCCCGGCTAAGCGGGTTACCTCGCCTTGAGACGTTTACATGGCAAATTGTCACCCCAGCTGACAGGGTTACCCCACCTGGCAGACCTTGGCGGGTTACCCCACCTATCATGTAAACGTGATCAGATAAAATGAGAGATTATATAGAAAGGCGGGTTACCCCACCTGGGCAGGTTACCTCACCTACCTGGGGTCCCCCACCTCCATGTAAACAGGCCCTAAGAGGAATAAGCGCACGCTAAGCATGAACCAATTCTTTAATGTCCGTGCACAAATATCCGTGCATATTTTCGCGCCAACAGGATGCCATTGTTTACGTTTCATGTTGTTATTGCTGGTTGATTTGTTATTGTCGTTGTTTTCATTTTGCCTGTTCCAAACGGTGTCTCGTTCTTCTCACGAAGTATACCTGAGAAAACTCTCACAAGGCAAATCTTACAACCAAACATTTATAAACCCAACAAGTTCAAACAGGTTGCATTCGGTTTCTTATCCGTAATGCGCCGATCAATTTGAAGCTTCAACATCCCCTTCCCTCCCCTACCCCCCCTCAAAACATATGAACTTTTGAAGAATGGTTCGTTCATATTCGCGTCCTTTGGGGCCAAAATTGTGTTCAAATGCTCCACCCAACTCCCTGGTTTGATCGTAAATGTTCCTTTTTGTAAAGGGCAAGATTAGCAATCGTGATCTTTTAGATCTTTTCTTTTGAGCCATCTGCTCACGAAAGTGAACTTTTTACCCTCAAACACTTTTATTTTAAAAGATAAAGAGACAGTTCGGATTTAAATTCCCCACCCTACCCCACCCAAGCAATGCCCAAATTTTACATCCTGCGGGGACAAATCACAGTTAAATACCGTGGGCTGCCTAGAGAGGGGGGAGGGGGGGAGGGGGAGAAAGGGGCAAAATGTAAAAGCTCCGAATTAATCGATGTATTAAGATATTTATGTATCACATCGAAACTTACAACTCCATGAGCTTTGGTCCTTTGAAAGCCTCCGGACGTATTTCTTTCAGATTTTTTCCTATGAACCTTCTGTTAACAGGGACGAGATAAGAAAATTATATTACATGTCGGGGGGGGGGGGGGGGGGGGGGGGGGGGGGGGGGGGGGGGGGGGAGAAGGGGGAGTGAACTAGAATCAGTTTTCCTGAAGTCACCCCCCCACCCTCCTAACGAATCTCAGTTACTCAATTGAAAAACGGTTCAGTACTTACTCAATTGAAAAACGGTTCAGTACTTACAAGGTTTTAAGTTGGCTGTTATTGACAAAAACTCTGTTCTCCAGGGTCGTAATCCTTGTTTGGGACAAATATCTAGAAGGAAAGTAACTCAGCGGTAAGAATCGTTTTTGAGGAGGGTGGGTTGGGGGATGGGTTGGGGGGTGAGTTGGAGGTGGGGGTGGGTTGGGGGGTGGGGAGTGGGTTGGGGGGTGGGGGGTGGGGGGTGGGTGGATGGGGAGAGAAGTGGGGGGTTCCCGGGGAATCGTTAAAGTGATTAAATTATCAATTTGGCTTTCTAGTTATAATTTCCCTTATTATACCCAGATCTTCCGTATTCACATCAAAATGGCGTTGTTTTATCGCAAGAGATATTGCCAACTAGGAGTCTTTTAAAAGCTCGTAGATCGTTGGCAGATCTGGTTCCTCGGTCGAAAGGCGTAGAGTTAAAAAAATACACAGTATGGTCAACTTACAGACTGACGAGATCATAATGCAGTCCCAGCGCTTTGGCATCAAGTTTCATGATTGGGTTTGAGGACAAATCTCTGTAAGAAAGTAGCAGCGACTTAGAACTTAATAAACATAAGCAATGATTAACCAACAAGGCACAGAGATGGCCTAAGATGCGTGGAAAATATTGACACAGAGAGCGTAAACTAATTCAAAACGGTCACCACATAGATAGATAACTTTGTTTATTCAGGGTAAAATCCTTCCGCATAATCTAAGAGTGAAAAATAGCTAATCCTGCTTAGCTAAACTAACTAATGATTAATATTGTATTATTAGAATAAAAACCTATTATATCATTAAAGCTGCATTTTTAGGATGCCGTGTTTTAATCAAAAGATATAATAACGCACTTTACCATTGAACTCGCTTAAAGAAACTGTTGATCGGAGCTCATGGGAAAGCAACTCTGTAGGAAAAACTTCTCTTCAAATAGTTGGGGCAGGGTTGCGGAACAGCCAATTTATTTCCAGAATTCTTCAGTGGGTATGAAGTAACATCATTTCGGAATACAAATCGAGATCGTCGATATTTAGGGGTCAATCCATATAAAATTATATACATCATAACAGAGGTGGTTACTAACTAATAGCTACTAGCTGTTCGTACCACAAAATAGCTTCTCAAGGTATTAAAATAAAGTATATAAATTAAGTTTGCGCTTTTAAGGACCGAGTCGAAATTTATCGCAGAGGGGTGGGGTAAAGTATTTTTGGGATCACATTGTTTTCAGGGGGGACCGATTGGGAGATCAGTAGTCGCCAACCGAATTTAAGAAGGATTGTGGAAGAATGACTACCAATAAACTGCCAATGAGGTCGGGATCATCAAAACATCACAACCTTATGGGGAGATCAAGTAAACTTTATCGAGACAAAGCAAAAATCTTCCAACCCCATCCACCCTCCCCCCCCCCCCCCGCAGGCGATATGCACAAAATTTTCAATGAGTTATAACCAAATTTCAAAGTTTGAAAAGTGATTGGGCGCTTTTTGCTAAGGTACGGTCACACACCGTAGAACTCACTCACAAAAGAAAAAAATTATAATACATACAGGGTAGTAATTTTTGAAGGCTTTTGAAACGCAGGTACTTCCTCGAGGTTGTTATCTTGCAGGCGCCTGTGAAATCAAATCACGAGATTTAGCGATTCATAAAGGTTTGGTTCCTCTTATGCGATTTAATGATCTTAATCGGGTTGCGCTGTTATGATCTAAACGGGCAACATAGGTATAAAAAGCTCCTCCGGTGTTATAACCATCTTAACATGTCACGAGCTGCAAATGACCAGTACCAAGACTATTGATTATAATACTATTGATTATAATGTTTGCGTTTACAAAGCAAGATTTTATATTCCCAGTCATAGACATACCCTTCATCACATGCCTAAAAAGGTACGAATGGCGCTTAGAATTACGATCTTCGTTCTTGTATCGATTTTGTGAACTAGGCCCAAATAGTAGATCAAACGCACTCTTCAAGGAGCTCAAGAATCGGTGACGCAAAAAATTTTCTGAGAAACTGGGCAAATGTTCACCTTTTACCACAAGTTTAAGCTTGTTTGAAGGCCTTTTGTTAAAGCTGAAATGTTTTCATTTTTTGCATCAAATGCATGCCGTTAAACTCTTAAATGAATCCCTTAAAGCGCTCGACGGTTGAATAATAAGTGGGCAAAGTTAAGGAAACCGGAGCTACAATTCAAAGCTTAATTTTTCTACGAAATCGCTGTAACAATAACAACAGTTGATCTGAGCAAGAACGGCAGCGTTAAAAAAAAGGAGTTTGAAATCAATGTGATACTTACAAATCAATCAAATCAAGCCCGTCGAAGGCACCAGGAGCGATGTACTTGAGGCCATTGTTTTGCATATATCTATTTCAAACAAGAAAACAAACCTTTCTTGGTCAAATCTGCACGAGCATTAAAACGTTATGAGAATTTTTCAATAAATTTTGTACTCACAATTTCTTCAGCGTCTTGAGCTTGGAAAACGAGTTCTTTTCAATTTTCGTGATTGAATTGTGGTTCAAATGTCTGCAATTATCAATGGTTTAATATTTTCAGTGGTGAAATTACTATCATTATTATACATTCAACTCACTATCTCTTTTCTTATTGGCCGAAAGTGTATAGTGAATTTTCGAAATCAGCGCTTAGGACGTCATCTAGCCGCAGATTATACAATAATCATGTCAAGGACACTGAAGGTCCTTGATTTCTCAGGGTAATCACTTCAAGTTCACGCGTTTTGTGTTGCCTGCTGATTTGTATATTTTTACACGTTTAGAAATAAATTATCAGTTCCACTTACTATCGTGACCAATTTTTTTTCGCTCAGTGTATAATAAAACAGTTATTATATTCGGTTTTTTGTGATATCCAGAATAATCAAGGTCTCTGTCAAGGTTATCAGCGTCAGGCATCGGCTTCGGTAGATAACCCCTGCCTCGACCTTGATTATTCTGGATATCACAAAAATCTCTTCCAATAATTGCTTAATATTAGATTTGAGTACTATGGGTTTTTCAATATTCAGTCAGCTGAACGCTAATGATTGGTTTTGTTTCAATATTTTGGAGCTCCTAAGGCACCAGTGGCAAAGTCTATGAGGCCATTGTTGTTCATAAATCTATTTGAAACAAGAAAACAAACCTTGGCAATGCTTAAAACTTTATGAGTAGTTTCCCTTAAATTTGTACTCACAATTCCGTCAGCGTCTTGAGTCCGGAAAACGAGCTCTCTTCAATCCTCGTGATTGAATTACTGCTCAGATATCTGCAATTGTTAATGGATATTTTTTCAGTCGTGATACATTTTTTCTTTTTTAATATTCGGCCAGCTGGACTTTAATTATTGGATTTATCTTAATATTTTGGAGCGCGAAGACATGGAGATCGGACCGCGCTTTACCGATAGCTACCTCTGTTCTGATTGGTTATTGCGATCTCTTTGGTTTTGTTTTTAAGTCATCTGTTTGAAAAGCACTAACAAGCAAGACACAGGAAAGTTACTTACAAATGTTTCATTGAATGAAGTCCTTTAAAAGCTCCAGCAGAAATATTTCTTAGTTTGTTGTATTCAAGATTCCTGAATGACAAAATAATTCCAAGTTTGCATAATAATAATCCATATTGGTATATACCACACAACTAAGTAGTGCTTTTCACGCTTGGAGATTGGCTAGTTCGGAAGTGATTAGAGCATTCACTTCCGAGAAGGCGGCGAGACAAACTCGCTTGTCAAGAGTTTAATTGCTAGCCATTTTTCGGTATATTGACAGAAATAAACAGATTCATGGTTTCTGTGTGGGAAAGACTAAAACAAATATTTACCTCAGTGTCAGTGGAAATTATGGATATAAGGAGTTTCAGTCACAAAACGAAAGACAAAGTTATTATTTACAAAAAATAAAATAAAAAACAGATAAACAACTTACAAGTCTTCTAAAGCGGCATTACCAGAAAATGCTCCTGGAGGAATGTCAGAGATGAGGTTTCCGTCGAGAACTCTGCAATGAGAAATTTAAGAGTTTTCAAGCTGTATTCGTACCTTTTTATATCAACCTTACAATTTGGAAAGATTTGACCTCCCATAAGCATACTGGTTTTCGAACAATACCGATTCATATGTATTTACATGAAAATAAATAATTGCGAGATGAAATCTATGACGAGAAATCAAATTTTGGACTTAGACAAAATATTCCTCAAAATTCGAAAGGATGTTTAATACAGGTCTCCTTAATTTACTTTGCATTACTTGATATATTGTTCAAGAGGAAAATGAAAAGCGTAACGGACCTGAAAAAATCTTTTGACAACGGTTAACAAAGTCTCGCCATTAACAAAAGACAATTGTAGTAAATACGTAAATACACTTACAGTTCTTTGAGGTTCTCAAAACAAGCAAACATGGTTGCATTTAAGCCTTCGATTTTGTTATTGGAAAGACGCCTGTGAAATAAAAGTAAAACGAGGGTAACCACTAATACATGGTCTATAAGAGATGTAAATCTTAGAGAGCGAATCTGTCCTCCCTCCAATTCGAAGCTTCAACATTCCCCCCACGGGCAAACTCCCGGGCATATTAACTTTTGAAGTTTGGTTTGTTCAAATTCCCGCCCCTCCGGGTACAAAATTGTGTTCAAATGCCCTGCCCAAATGCCAGATTTGAAGATTAATTTTTTTGTTGAAAGGCAAAATCAGCGACTGTAACTTTCTCCACATTGACCAAGCTGTAACACCTAAACGTTGTAGACCTTTTCTTTTGACCCATTCGCTCGCGAAAGTGAACTCTTTACCTGTAAACACCTCGAAAAGTAAAGATATAGCACTTGTATTCCGCTAGAGGAACGTTACACTTTCCCAAAAAAATTCTTAGCCAGGCAAGATTCAAATTCCCCGTCCCCGTGGCACTGATCGGTGCATAAACTAGAGACTGAATAAACTCTTCAACTAATAATCTAATTGTTTACAATCAGTAGGTATGAATAAAATTTACTCACACGCTAGTTACATGGTCTGTTGCGTTGTTACATGACGTCGATACAACACTAGTGCAGCCTTGGTTAATTATTTCGCTGAAAATATATTGAAAGGTGCAAAAACATTAAGCCATAAAAAAAAACCCAAAATATATAACAATTATATGAGTATAAGGAAAGCAGTTTACGAGAAATATCAACGATGGGTCATGGCGTTACCGTCGGTGTTATATCGTTTCCAATGCCATTATAAATCTCTATTAGATTAGTAAATCTCTATTAGACTAGATCGTAGTTTCAAAGCAAGTACATTCAGCAGGAAAAGAGCTCTGAGAAAATTTAGCTGTCAACGGCCCCCGCTTCCTAACCTCCCCAACCAAGTTGCAATTGGGCGCTACCAATAACTGCGTTCGAACCTTCAAAGCCACAGGTTAAAAGCATTGTTAAGTGTCGGTGTTTTTCTTCTTTGGTTCATCTAAAGCGTGAGTTTAAGAAGCTTCAAGCATTCCCAGTCTTGTAAAAAATAAAGACACTCAATAATAAGCGTTTTGTTGTTAAAATTTGCAATTTGCACCGTATTTATTATCTTATGGTCACATTTCCGTGTTTGAAATTCAATTTTATTTTCCGCATGTTCAATCTGATTTATATTTTGCTGTTCAAGTAAGCTGGTGTCGACGTCGGCGCTTTGAAGTTTAAAGTGTATAAGAAAATTTAGATCCTGTAAGGATTAAGTTCATCAGTCCTTGCACGTAATGGAAGTATGACGTTACATTTCTTTTTGAGCCAAAATTTTTGGTAAATTTTTTCGTCTTTCTAGTCCCTGATTTATACTTTCGTATTAAAGTACGTTGTTTTCAAGGTCAGTGTTTTTTATCCTAAAACTCCCGCGACCACGACAGAATTTCTCTTTACAATCTCGATAAGTCATCAAGCAGAAACGTTATGGAAATAAGGAAACAATATCAATTGCAGGATTATTAGTCGATCAGAGACCAAATTCTCAGAAATAACATCGTAAGAATTGCATGGCAGACAGTAAGGAGAATTGCTAATGAGATCTTGGGAATGAAAGGCTTAAGAAGAAAGAGAATAAAAAAATAGACTCCAGGAAACAATAAGCTTATGTTACGAAAATCCTAACCCTAAATCTCGCTGTCGTTAGATGTGTGAAAAATGCTAAAAAGGGCGAAATTTATTTTTGATTTAATTGATTCCCTTATTATCAAAGCCCTATAAGTCCCTCATCTGATAAAGTTCCTTAATTAAAAATAAAAAGAGGAGAAAAGAATGAAAAGTAGTGCAGATTGATATCAACGATGGAGAAAGGTACTCGAGAAATTCAAACATGTAACCAACCCACATATTAGCTTTGCCATGTTTTTTTTTTTTTTTTTTTCACATCGTTTATGTCTCCTAACAAATAGGCTTCCCTTTGGAATTCCCTGTATATTTGGATATAAAATCAGCACAAAACCTTCGAAACGCTTCCTTCCGTGTTCAATATTGCTCCACGCACACAGTATTTTTAAATCAAAGAGTTCCTGCCTTGCGAATGGCGCTTATGGCGAATTTTACCTTTCAATAAATGACACTGTTTGAACTTTGAATGTGTTCCTATTACCTAACTCATAACACATACACCTTAGATAATAACCCGTTTGCTGCCCGGTGACAGGAACGAATTTGAAATATTCACGCTTGAGAAATGCATGCCTGTCAACATTTAGTCCGTTAGTTGTAAGCAGATGTAAACATTTTTCACTTACACAGCTGTTGAATTCCCTTTAGGCCAAATGTCGCACTCTTTTTCTTCTTTGGCTACGGAGACGCTGAGCAAACACAGCAGCAATATGAAAAACAGTGGCATTTTCTTCTTTGTTATAATCTTGAATCCCTGTTGAAGACGAAACTCCTAAAAGTAAATACAATTTTTCAGAAATTGTTAAGCCGGCGTTTCACGTAAACGAATTCAAAATGTATGAAATACTTGAGTTTAATGCTCACCCGTATACGTAGCTCTCACTTAAAGCGATAATAAGATCTAGAAAAATTTCATTTTCTTTGAGAAACAACTTTGTAAATGTAAATGAAACCGGCGTGATCTGAAACGGTGTGAACTAGACTGACATAATCCCTGCTAGCATCATTTAAACGTTGAAGGGTGTCATTGAAATGTATTCACAGTTGATTGACTTAACTACATGCAGGTCCAGAGCGACTCTTTTTAACACAAAAGAAAACTCATTAGCACGTCAAAAACTGAATTAAAGAACAAAAAATATAAGAAAATAAATGAACCCCTTTACCATGGATTATTTCCGAACGAGAGTTCCTAATCAAGATAACTATCAGACGATAAGAGTGTACGACCGTTCGTGTATTACAGGGAATGTTTCCTCTATGCGTTGGAGTCAGTATTCCGTGGTTTCTTTGTTCTATATATTAACATGCAAATTTGGTGCGTGAATTTAAACAACAGGTATACGATTATTAGGTGTCAAATTGTACGATAGATTTTTTTCATTTCGTCTCCCACAATCTAGTCTTTATGGGTGCTCAGTGAAATCTTCAGGGATTACCTGAATAAAGTACTTCTGCTCTCATCGAATTAGGGAAACGAAAATCTAACTCAAAAGCTGCATGAAAAATCCAAATTTTCCTCTCATTCATCAAAACATCTTCTGTAGGATCAACAAGGAAATACTGGTAATCCTTTGTACACCGAGTATTGATTAACATTTAATTTCTCTTTGCCATCTTAACCCTTTATTATCCGACTAAGGCGGTTCGTGCCGACATCTAAAACCAACCAATCAAATCGCTGTACTACCTGTCCCGCGAGGGCCTGTATTTTGTTACTTTCAGACCGGGTAGTCTGTCGAATTTATCCCGTGCGATTTTGATGAAGGATATTATCCCTATCAAATCAAGATGGCGGTGCTATTGGAAGCTCTTCCTTAGAGTGGATGAATATGCTGCCTGATCATTTCGAAAGAGAAAAATCTCGACCTGAAGGATCACTGAATTGAATCAGAAGATAGTTCTTAAAAAAACCCTTCCGGTTGGCAATTTTTGGAACAGATATTTTAATAACCGATAGACCTTTCTATTCTTCGCTCTGATGAAGGGCTAACGCAAAAAAAGAACAGTTTCAGAAACTCTTTGCGGTGGCCAGTTTTCATTTACCAACTCATTCGGTAAATTAGAAAGTAGAATCTGTTGACTTCCGAGCGAAGTTTGAAGTAATTCGGAGAGTACTTCAAACTGGTAAATATCATTCTTTCATTCAAGATACGATTTTTAACTCAGACTGACGATAAGATTTTACGATGATTCAAATAACTTTCGTAATTTTGTACGGAAATCTGCAAATTATCTTTCTGTTAAATGAGTTGAATCAGACCTAAGGCGGGTTCTTGATTGAACGGTTTTTTTTACACGCAAAAATCTCGTTAATGTTTCGCTTCCGTCTGCATCTTGTTTGAATAAAGTTGTAGTCTCAAAATAACTTAAAGAAGCTTTCTTGGCCTTTTTCTGAAGATTTTGAGCGGGAAGTAAGTGCTGAGTAAATTTCCCAATTTCTTTAAGATCATTGTGTGAAAGGTGCAAAACATTGCCTATATATATATATATATATATATTCAATCTTGATGTCTGAGAAAATTCTTGATAAGAAAATCATTATTTTCTGAAAGAGTACTTTGTGATATGATTCTCATCGAATCCTAATTGTTCGAGGAAGCCACAGATCTCAGTTCATTTTACTATTTCAAACTGAGATCTCATTTAAGGTTCAGAGAACCTTTGTCAGCCCAAGAAAATAATTACCTTTGACACTTTCGTAAAACATTACTTAGCACGCGTTGCTTGCCTGTCAAGCCTTACTCTGACAACTACTTAAACGCTGTTATTGCTCGGAAAAAATTCTTAAGAGAAAAATTAATTACTTGCATGTCTTTGACATATGACTGAATATACGAGTAGCATGGGTAAATAAAAAAACTCAGCATCAGTGAAATTGTATTCACTAGAAACAGTAATGTTTTCGCATGTACAAAATTGCAATATCAAATATGTGTCATTTGGACAGGTAAACAGAGTTGTGCTTAAAGATTACAAAGTCTCTCTCTTTACAATACAGATTAAATTCAGGATTCTTGATCAAACTTGACTGAAACGTGTCCGCTAAGAAATGATTAGGAGCTACTCTGACTCAACTTGTGGTAAATTGCACCGTTCGAACTTGAGTAAACCTTCCCTTTGGACATGAAATGGAAAAAACAGAGTGGGCGATGCGTGATAGAAATTAAATAAAGAGCGAACTTTACAGACTGCTACTATTTAAATTCGATATGACTCTATCTCGAATTATGTATAAATTACAAATAGGCCGGCCTGAAATAAAAAAAAATAAATTTTTTTTGCGCAAGAAAACAAGCCCTTAGAATGGAGGGCGAATGCATAGAGAAGAGTTTTTTTTAAATGCAGGATATAATACCTATCACATATTAAATTCGTAACAATCCTGTTTTGAAATGCATTATGTTCAAATTACAGGTGACCTTGCAGAGAAAAATATGACTAGACAGAATGGAGCCGACATTCATAATCGAACATTCGTGAACAGCAGCAAGGTAAATTTGTAATTGTTCGGCTTTGCAACACGTTATGTTACATTTACAATTAACAAAAATTGAAATTGCTTTGAACAAAGACAAAAACTCATGGTTTGCGTGAACGGAGCCGACATTTGCACGCAAACCTTCTTGAAAAGCATGATTTAGAATCTACTAAAATGTACATTCATTGTTGATGTTTTTTGTAACGGATTATTCCAATTTAACGATGCTTCGTATAAAAACAAAGCAATGAAACTGTTTTAAGCACCAAAAAAAAATCCTAGCGGTAAAATGATATACAGCAATTTTCACTTTTCACTTATTTCCTGAAGTGCACTTTGTTACATGTTAGTACAGCCAACTTTTTTGGGTTCAAAATTAAAAGTTGAGAAGATGATGAAATAGGCGTAATTGTGAGGGAGATCTTGGACAACCACTGTTATATGGAACATAAGTCAGAGATACTGCAATAATATGCAATTTTTACCCTTCTTTTGACAGGGAAATACCACGAAATTTATTGTGCAAAGAATTGAATGGCTTTTGCGTTTGTTAAATCATGCAAAATTGCGCATCGTTTGATTACAAATAATTCCTTGTGTAATATTTATGCAGGGATAAGAAAGAAAATGTGAAACGACTACCTGGTATGGAATAGCGCCTTAGCCAACAGAAGGATGGACTGAACTCAACACAGCTTTGAACCTAAAACCGTCGAACTGAGTAGTTTGGTAAAAATGATTGCATTTTCGTTCTCGAATTTGATTGGTGGGACAGTTTGCGTAGATTCTAACGCATTTGTCGGCTCGTAAATTGTAAATCAAATTAACTGCAGCTGGATAAACGAGTTTTGTTCGAGTGAAATAACCATGTTCCTTAGAAAAATATTATGAATTGGCTAAACGTGACAAGCGATTGGCAAACTTCATTTTACAGCTAATCGAGACGTGACTAATTTAGGTATTCCTCAAGAGGTCCTAAATGAAACGACCGGAATTGAAATGTTCAAATTATACTCTAAGGTGAAGTTTTTTTGCACAGAATTTTAACCGTTATGTGAGACAAGACAAAACAATGACATCCTTTTGCTTTGGATCGTTAAAGCGGACTCATTTTACTAATGATCTTGGAAAACAAACCCTTGAAACCATTTTCATGTGTAACACCTTTCAGTCATAATATCCCGCCTTCGAATTTTGTTTTCCGGTTTTCAGACGTCTTAGGAAAATAATGCAAATAGACTTGGCCAAGAATTTTACGAAAAACGAAAACACGGAAATTGTGAATGCAAAGTTTGTCTTCCGCAACATTGGATTACTGACGTTTGTCTTCAAGGCTGGCAGACTTCTTTAAATTCTGTTTACCTTTGGGCAGGTTTGGTAGAAGAAAATTTGAGAAATAAGAAATTTGAATCTGATTCGTGACACCACAATTGTCAGGTCAATTAATTAAGCCATTTTCACAAAATAGTTTCGAATTAAAATTGTAGGCAAGCTTTTACAAATATTCTTATTACTTTTAGAGTGCAATTTAGCTGATTGACATTCAACCAAGGCTAAAGGAAGTACAACAGCCGATCGAAAAAGAGAGTAAATATCTGAAGACGCCACTGAGAGAGAACTCCGAGAAAATACATGAACTGTAGCAGGCGCTGAGAGCAGGTGACCAAGCTTTGCACCTGATTGGTTGAGAGGATGACGCAAATTTTCTGGACCAATCACACAGCGTAGAGAAAAAAAGACTCAGGGAGTTACTTCCGGCGACTCCGTCCAGCATAATTCAGAAGAACTTTACGCTTCAGATAATTCCATATCACTATATTCTGAGAGTTTAACTATTTTACTTTGCATGATGAAAGCTCCATTTGTTGGAAGCCAGAAACTACACGAATTCTTGATTGCGTAGAGTTTTTAAAGCTGGCGTTTCAGGCGTTTATCCTCCGTCATTCGCTGTGACAAAAGGCTAACATTCAAAACATCAGTTTAAAAATCTCCTTACGGAGGCTATTTCACACTATCAACTCAGTTTATAAAACTGAACCAAATTTTGTTTTAACAATCCCACCGACGCAGCGCCACAGTTTGTTTTAAGAAGCTTACCCTTACCTAGGGTTCGCAATACATTAAGTAACTTTTTTGTTTTTTAAAGGCATTATATAATGTTACCTGGGGTTTTGTTTCCAAGTAGTGAGTTTCCAAACAAATGCAATTACCAAAAAGGCTGCTTTCTCGAATAAACCACAATCAAGAAAAAAAAAGTAATCCACCGTCATTAAATAAATTACATTTAAATATCTATGTTAATTTACAACATAGTCAACAGAATTTCGCTTTATCAAGGAACAGACTCCCTAATAGCGCTTCTGCGCATGTGAAGTTTTATTGAGACAATTTCAATGTTTTTATTTTGATTTTTAAGAAAACCCTGGTCCTTGAGATGCCTTAGGTTGTTATCTCGACAAAACCGCTGGCCGGCAGGCCTAAAGGCTGAATTTTTCCACCCATCAGCATGGTCCTTCATGGCAGTAGAATTAGTGTCACATAAAAGGAAGGTGTTCACCGTAATGAAGAAACAAAACGGAATCAATTAAATCAACCATGCATTGATCATTAGCACCTTTCCTTTAACAACAATAGCTAAAATGGTTTAAAAAGTATTTCCGAGAAGATGTGTTTTTCGCGTCACTTCAAGAGACAGGTGTATTTTTGAGTGTTCAAAATTCTTCTTAATTAGCTTTGGTATTATAATTTTCGTCATCTCCCTTCTTTGTGTAGGCGGCTTAAGGCATAAGATTACGATATTAATGTGGTAAAATAAAATCATTTTATCCAACATTTTCCGAGGCTTGCTTCGATGTCATTGTACGAAAGGAAACGTTGTACTTCTGGTTGAAGCGATATCGACCCTTCACATCCTGCTAACAGTATGCATATTACCCATACTGATCATTACACATTTCCTTTGGTATTGACAAGGAAAATCGTTATCAAAGAACTCCTTAGGCGATATCATTCCCTTTTTTCCCCTTGACCTTATTGTTTGATTCAACACTGATACTGCAACGAGAAAAGAGTTAAAAAAAAATCGCAGTTTAAACGATGTACGTTGTAAAGCATCCATACGCAATTTCGTAAGCTCGCCATTTTCAATTTATTTTAATCTTTTCCACTTGTGGCACTCAACGTTCTTTTTCTTTCTCAGTTTAAAATATTTTGTGGTTTTCTTTAAGTCAGAGGACGGTTTTCCATTCGCTCTGACGAGGGCTAACGAAGGGCTAACTAATATCAACTCAGTTGGTTATACTAATTACCCTAAATTACGCTAACTGTGAATAATGTTTTTCAAAAGCGGTTTGCATCGTAAATGAGCGGAAAATAGCGTCGAAACCATTTGTTGAGATTATTAATTATAAGTCACGAAATCTATGAGCAACTCATGCGCGTTATTGTTTTCATGCTCGTACCAAAATGACACCCTGATGCTACCTTTTTAGTTTTAGATACACTTTCCATGTAAACACTCTTCAATGACTTGTAAACTGCCCCAGCATTGGATCTAAAATGTCATAGACCAAGTGAAAACTGATATCTTATTTTCATGATATTTTGTATCGCCATCCTGTAAGGAAGGCCAATTTTGGGACGTCTGTGGTTGTTTATTTACAATCGAAACACTTGACAACGATTTCAAAATGTTTACATCATTCCTAAGTGAATTGCATTAACCAAATGGAAACGGTATATTTCTTGAGGCATTGATAATAATAATATCTTAAAGAATAAATTATCATAAGCAAAATCCTTGTCTGAATTACTTGGCGTCTTTCTTATTCAGTCTGCCACACACCACCTGTCACGAGAACAAGGCTTTTAAAACATTAGCCCATATTGTTGATGCGATCGCCCTTTCTGGAAAACGTGTCAAGATAGCTTTCAATTTTAACGCAAAGTGGCATCTTCTCGAGATATGTTGGGCTGAATTGATATCAGAAATTCCTTTGATTTTATCACGTCTTACGAGAGACAGATTTTCCTTTAGTGGTAGATTAGCGAGGAAAATGCATTTTAAGCGAGCATAAGTGCTCAACAGATCTATGGCGCCACTGGACATTTAAATACCTTTTATGTTCCCTTGTATGTGAACGTGTAATCCCGATTGATCGTTGCTACCCCAAATCATCCGTGCAACGTTTATCTCGTTTTTTCAACTTGTGTTTTCAATCTTGATATACTTACCTTATCCCAAACTCTCCTTTAATTGAAAATTTATTTTTAGGAACGTGTTACATACTCAAACTTCAAAATAAACATTAGGTTTTCTAGGCTTTGTTACTCTCAATAGTACAGCTATAATTGTCATCCTCCATTAATACTAAAGAAACTCAATATTACGTCTACAGATCTGAAGACTTCCTTCATTGAACTAGAGTCTTACAACTGAAGAAACTCCATAATTTAACTGCACAGCGTCTTAAACTTTCCCTCAGATGTAATGATAACCTTACTTCAGTTTCTTTACAAAATATTCTTCACACCCAAAATTTGAACGTAATCGAACTTCAGGGCTAAGTACGATGTTTCACAAGCGAAATGCCCAGAGTCTTAAGGAAATTTGTAAGAACTTTTTTCAATATTTGCACAAATACAAATACGGACTAAAAAATATCTACGAAATGTTAACAGATTTCTAATCTTTACCTGGATAAATGTGGTCAAATTGTGCCTCAGTTTTTATCTGTTGAGCAGCCAGCGAACTATTTCTGTTTAGTGGTTCTCGAGAGACTGAGACTGAGAAATTATGGCATAACTTATTATATGGTTATGTTAATTCTGCAATTTAAAAGCCGCATTTAATATTAAGTTTTCCATGCTTTTAAAGCTAAACCAAAAAAAGCTATTTTTGAAAATTTTGCGATTTTATTTTTATTCCTTTGGACAAATATAATTTGCTTTGATCGACGCAGTCGAATTATCACAGAAAGTGGCACGTCTCTACAATAACGGCTCTCTTTTGCATTTTGCTAAAAAACCAGCTGCCTCCTCAAATTCAGGATGATTAGCGAAATACGGGCGCAAAACAACTCTTAAGTAGTAAAATAGAATCTTCTTTCGCATTTGGTAGATCTTAGAAGTAAAAAATGAGCAGAGTTTACCATTTAAGTGTGCAGTTTTTCCGCTTCTTTTGCGCCAGAATCTTTTATTAATAGCACGATCAATGGACAATGGTTCTGAAAATCGTAGAAAGACCTTTTGAATTTAGAGCAGCTTTTATTGCGATTACTAATTTATACAAAACTTTCTGAATAGCCTGATTCAGATGTTCTAAAGATATTTTTCGAAGGGTGGGTTAGTAATTACTCTATATTCTTGTCTAATTCGTCTCCTATTCACTAAAAGACTGGTCGTTCAATGAAGACTATCTTGAACAAATTGAAGTCAGCTTTGTAAATTTACCATTCATTAACAAGCTGGTAATTGTTTGCTCGTGATGTTACCAATTCGCATGCGTAAAATCCTGTGTGGGTGTAAAGAGCATATGTTTACATCTAGAACGATCGAGAAAGAACTACAGAATGGCACCATCATATAGAACCCAATTTATCGAATTGAAAATATAACAAACAGTAACGAAACAAATCAGAATAGGGGAAAAAACTTACATAAGTTTTCTGCTTAGAAATGACTTTGAAGCAGATGTAACTGGTTTTGCATGCCGCTCGCAGCTTGCACAGAAAAATATCAACTGGCTTAACGCAAATTAAAGTACGCAAAAGGTAATGGAAAAAAAACAGCATTTCTACAACGGAGTCACGCAGTGCCATTTAAGTTCTGCCTCTATGGCGCCATTTTAAAATTATCTATAAGGCTTGGTTACAAAGGCTTTTAGTGGGCTTTTAATGCGGCCAGTGCAGCTAGGTGGTAAACTCAATCAGTTATAATTTTTTTCTTTTTTTTTTGCTGGGTGCAAGTCCAATATAAGTTTGAGGTTTCTTTAACTTTCTTTTTTTAGTAGCACCTTAATGTAGTCTGTATTAATTTGAAATCGAAGTGTCTTGTTTCTGAGACCATTACTTTTTAAATTTCGACTCCATATTTCTTAAGGAAAAAAATTTTCCATACGAGACGTTTAGTAACAGAAATGTCATCGGTATTGATTCGGTAAAGCTTCGTTTTAGGCCTGACCAAACAGAAAACGGTAAACAATCCAGTTTCGCATAAATTTACTCAAATTTGCAACCGAGTTTTAAGCTCATAAAAACCATGTAAATGACTCCACTCGCGGTTTAAAGGTTTTGCTTTATCCCAACCTATCTATTTTAAAAAAGTGGTATTTCCATCAACATCTACATAATATATTTATGTCCGCGATAAATTGTCGTGTACTTGTATGTCTTATTCAAGGTCGTCAAATCGCATTAAGTACCTTATGCGTATTGCGTATCCCGCATAACATTTCATGTTGTATCAAATCACGCGGAAAAGATCACGTTATTCCTAAATTTGCGATAGACTTCTGGTAACATATCGCATTGTAATGCATATAAACGAAAATCTCTAACATGCAAAATGTGGTTTGCATGTTTCGATACAACTGATTACCCTCTAACTCGAAACATTTGAAACATAGATGCTTCGAATCAGGATGATACCCTCGAAATTTCATCAAAATTTTGTAAGATTTTGCTGACGCAAGGAAAAAACGCAATTCGGCGTATAAAATCACGATTGAAAACAATCGAAACAATCCCTGATTCGAGAAAAGTTTTCTCCACAAACGTCGACGTGTTCAGAAGATGTACGTAAAGCTAATCAAGAAACCTAACCATAACGCTAATCTCATGTCAGTTTTTTTTATTTCAAACTTAAAAATAAAAATAACTGACATCAATTAGTAATGTTGCAGACTGGAAAGTAAATTAGTTTACGTCGAGAATCTGGCTTGTCAACTTATGATGTTTTTCTGTCTGATCGAATTAATCGTAAACAGTCACAAAAATAAATAGCAAAGGCTTGGCTGCTTTTGAGTGAAAACTTTATAATTCTGTCATTATGCCATTTACTTTAACAAAAAATTTACCAACCAATTTTTCATCACCAATTTAGAATAACATTAGGTTTGAACATGACTTGTTGAAAAACAACACACAATTTTTTCAAAGCCAGAACGAAGAAAAACGCGGTAGCAAAGTGAATGAACGCCACATATGACAA